TGCCTTGGAAGCTCATCAAATCTTGGTCAAGTGTTTGATTGATTGTTCTATTCTCTTGGAGCAACTGTCCATAGAGTTTAAAGCAAAAAACACAGCTAGAATGCGGTGGGGAAGCAAGGACTGCAGTAAGCAGCCTAAAAAGACACAAAACTCAAGGGGAATAGGTATGCAGGTACCCTGTGAATGACGTCCTCAGGCTTCAGCCACGTGTGGACTGGTCAGCATGCATTGTCTCTTCAGAGTGAGCCTCAGAGGAGCTGTCCAGGTAAATTTTCAGCGGATCAAAGGCTGGATTTCTGAAACTTGGAGAGGTAGTTAATATGGACCTGGGTTATATGTGTGTGCAGGAATGTCTACAGATATAGCTGGTCTTTTAACTGGTTACAAGCTGGGTTGTTTTTTTGTTTTTTTTTTTGTTTGTTTGTTTGTTTTAACTTTTCTAGAGCTTTGTGGCCTGTATGCTGTATATAGTTTTTATTTAATCTATTTTTTGAGTTACCGCTGCTACAAATGCAGACCCATTGTCACTGCCAGTGATCAAGGATAGGCCATATCTAGGGGTGATTTTTTTACAGCAGGACCCTACAAACTTTTATTGTCTTCTCTGTACAGGTAGGGAGTGGGAGGTTGGGGCCAGTGGCACAGACACTGAAGCCTGAGTTGGCTTCAGGGGTATGGGTGCCATGGCAGTAGCTTGAGCTTGCAGAACATATGGTGGGTGCAGGTCTGGTGGCTGGGATTGATGTTTCAGTCAATCAGATCCCCAGAGGGAGCTTAGGCCTCTGGACAGGATTATTTTGCAGTATTGGTGGTAGGTTTCCAAATAGCAGCAGGAAGCAATTTACTGTGCGGATTGTCCCTGCAGGAGAGTTTTGGCCAAAATAATTTGGTTTTTTGGGGTGTTGGAGGGGGTTGTCTTTTTGAGATAGGATCTTGCTCTGCAGTTCAGGCTGGCCTTGAGCTCACTCTGTAGCCCAGTCTGGTCTCAAACTTGCAATGATCCTCCTGCCTCAGCCTCCTGAGTGCTGGGATTATAGCTGTGTGCCACTGTGCCTAGCTTCTGGCCAAAATAGTTCTGTGCAAGGTGACCACAGCTTTTCTAGTTTATCAGACATTTTTCCTAACAGAGCTACTCTATGTGTGAACAGGGTATACTTGAAGTCTATCAGGAGGTCCTTTTTAGAACTGTTCATCCCAGTACAGCATGTAGCACCTGGACAATTAGGTCTCGGTCTAAGGTGAGCTTGTCAGCTTTCTTGATCAGAAGGACAATAGCTGTTAGGGCACATGGCCAAAGTGGGGAGGCAGCCCTTAGGGGCCAGATCTAGGTTTTTGCACAGGCAGGCCACTGGGTGCTCCCAGGAGCTGACAGTCTTCCTGAGCATAACTCCAGGATCCAGATTTTCTAAAAGCCAGCAGCTCAAGAAATTTGTGGGGTTGTTTTCCTTGTTACCAGTTTCTGCCAGATATTGTAGCAGAGCTTTTGCGCCTTTCAGCAGGCAGTTTGGGTGTCATCTATCAGAAGTGCAGTGATCTTCTCCAAAGAGGGTAAACAAGTTTTTGAACCTCTGGGAGGCTGAGTTCAGGTCAGTTACCTTTTGAGTCCAGAACTGGGGTCTTTGGGAAGAGGGGCTGTTTGAAAGGAGCCTAGTGAAGGCAGAAGAAGGCATTCTTTAGATCCAGGCGGGTGTATGCTCAGGCTGTGGGTGGCAGAAGACCGAGGCAATGTATACGGAGGGCAATTGCGGCAACATTGGCAGCTTAGAGATCTGGAACTGGCTTTACAGGCAGGAGAGGTGTATTTTAGCAGTTTGACAATCTATAGACATTTTGTAGTTTTGAAGCCTCATTTGTTTCTTTCTCAGGGGACCATGACAGCTAGGGCCTTCCAGAAAGTAGGGGAGAGTTCTTAACCCTACGGCAATTGACTCCAAATAAGCTGGCCTTTTGTCTTGGGATTTTTCCCAGTTTAAGGGCTTTAGGAGAGCAACTCCCCAGCAGAGGAGGCATCTTTTAAATCTAGAACAGTCCAAAAATGGTGTATGGCTCAGGGACCACAGAATGTAAGGTGTTGTTTTGGCTTTTGGGTTGTTTTTTTTTGTTTTTTTTCTGGTCTTTTTGAGACAGGGTCTCGCTATGCAGTTCAGGCTGGCCTTGAGCTCACTTTGTAGCCCAGGCTGGTCTCAAAATCAGTAAATGTAATTCAATACATCAGTAGGATAAAAGAAGGGGCTGGGGATTTAGCTCAGCGGCAAAAGCGCCTGCTTGGCAAGCGCAAGGTCGTGAGTTCAGTTCCCGGTACCGGAGAAAAAAAAAAAAAAAAAAAAAGTAGGATAAAAGAGACAGATCACATGACTGTATCAGTAGATGCAGAAAAAGAACTTGACAAATTCAACATTCATTCAAAATTTAAATTCTCAGCAAAAAGAAAAACAGAATTCCCCAACTTCATAAAGAATGTTTACAAAAAATCTACAGTTAACATCACACTTAATGGTAAGAAACTACAATAAACTTTCCCACTAAGATCAAGAATAAAACAGGAACATCCCTTCTCACCCTCCTTTTCAAAATCACACTGGAAAGCCTAGCGAAAAGACAAGAAAAGAAAATTGTAAGTATGAAGATTTTTAAAATGCATGTAGATTGGAAAGGAAGAAACAAAATTTTGTTCACTTATGACATAAATGTCTGTAGAAAATGCAAAAGAATCAACAAAATAAACTAGTTGAGCTAATACATGATTATAAAAAGGTTGTAGGATGCAAAGCAAATATACTAAAGTCAATCACTTTCCTGTATACAGGGAATGAGCAAGTGAAATTTTAAATTAAAAACTCAATACTGCTTATATTAGCACCCCCCAAATGGAAATACTTAGGTATAAATTTTATTAAAATATGCATAAGATCTATATGAGGACACTATAAAACTCTGATGGATGAAATCAATGAACTGAAGAAACATTCCTTTCTTTTTTTTTTTTTTGTCTTTTTGGACAGGGTCTCAATATACAGTTCAGGCTGGCCTTGAGCTCACTTTGCAGCCAGGGCTGGTCTCAAACTTGCAATGATGCTCCTGCCTCAGCCTCCCAAGTGCTGGCATGTGCCACCATATCTGGCTAACATTCCATGTTTATAGATAAGAAGACAATATTGTCAAGATGTTAATTATTCCCAACTTGATCTGTAGATTCAATGCAATCCCAGTTGAAATGTCAGCATGTTGTGGGTACTGATTAGCTGCTTCTAAGAGTTCTATGGAGGGGCAAAAGTACCAAAATATCCCATAATATCTTTAAGGAGAATAATGTCAGAGGACTGGCCCTACCTGACTTCAAGACTTAGTAGAAAGCCACACCCCTGTTCGGTTTGTCAAACCCATAATTCTAGTAAAACCAAAACCTCAGATGATGCATAGCCAGCACTTGCCAGATCATTTGGACATTTACAGATGGAGTTTACGCCGTTGCCACCTCCACACATGGTTTTTGGCTATGTAAAAGCCGCCTGTGAAGGAAGTCTGGTGCTGTAATAACAGTGAAAAGGTCATTAGAAACTGTATTTCCAGGCCATGGACTGACTATGGACTGAAACCTCTACAAACTGGGAGCTGAAATAAACATTTCTACCTTAAAAAAATGTTTCCCTTATGAGACATTACTGCTGAAATCCTTACTGACGGAGGTATTCGTTTCATTGGACAAGTGGTGAAAAGTATTACAAACACAAAGGCATCCAACTAACTAGATTGCCTTGGTCAAAGGTATCGCTGAATGACGGCCGTCAGTTCTCCTCCCACTGGAAAACATAACTGAACCTTTATGAAATAGTTGCTGTAAGACCTGCGCTCCTAATCGTGAAGCCTGGTGAAAATACACTTTGGCATTAAAGCCTTGCACTACTGGCTGGTATCGGGAGTTATGAGTGGGAGATAATGAGATTCCATCTCAGGAACAGGCATACTGAATGGTGGGTGGCAAGACTGGCTATTCCACGGGATTCTAATCTTCATGTCTCTCTTCCTGGCTGCCCAGGTTATTATCACCGCCATTCCCAAGCTAGCAACAAAAATGGATGGCTCTTTAAACCAGGTGACTTTACAGTGAGCCATGGTCCTTAACTGCCATCATGCCCCAAGCAAAAGCTGTGACCTACTGGACTCAAACACCGCGGAACTGTCTTTATTGTCTGAACTTTCAATTGTCTGCTTTGCTTTATTGAGGTTCAGGGATGCTCCTGTGTACCTCAGAGGCTGCTAGTGTCCTTCTGATAACCGTCCTAATAGTCTCCGAATACATCGTGTCCCCTCAGTGGTCCTAAATGCTCCTATGCAGCCATCCTTTGTAGGTCAGAAGGTCTCATTTAATTTTAACAAAACCATAAAAGAATTAGCCAACTAACTTGATATTGTGAATTGCAAATTCCATACTGAGACCAAAGAAGTCCTTCACCGTGGTGATAGAAACTAATGTCAATGTCCAAGGTTTTGGTCAATCTCTTAAAATTTAGAGGCTGACTAAGATGGGGAAAATAATTAAATTTGGTATAAAGCTGCTTCCTATCAAATAGGCAAGAGTCGAGCGTGGTGGTGCACGCCTGTAATCCCAGCACTAGGGAGGCTGAGGCAGGAGGATCGTTGCGAGTTCGAGACCAGCCTGGGCTACAAAGTGAGCTCAAGGCCAGCCTGAACTGCATAGTGAGACCCTGTCTCAAAAGGACCAAAAAAAAAAAAAAAAAAAAAAAAGACTCAGCCAATCACAGCAGCTGAACTTTCAGCCAATCACAGCCCGGTTAGTGGTCAGCCACTTCTCCATCTGGCAATTACCCAGTGCTAATCCATCAGGCCCTGTCTGCGTGTCAGTTCCTCTTCCTCTCCATAAATACTGCCTCCTGCTTGCTGGCTCGAACTCTGAGCCTTTACTGTTTTCAGGGTGCTGCCGGATTCATGAATCATTTCTTTGTCCGAACACTGCTAAATTTAAGTTTTTCTTTTAACAGCGACAAACACGGCTCAGGCACAACTGACCTCCTCAACAGATGCCACACCAAACTCAGGTAACAACTGGCAGTAAGCTCCCCGCAGCTCCCCATTCTTTCAGGCCTGAGGCGGGAACCCTCCCCCATCCCTTACCCCGGTACTCGCCTGCTGCTGTCCCGCCCGCTCCACCCCTTCCACCCATCTTCCCAGATGCAGAGAGGAGTTTCGGAAAGCAGATGGAACCCTGCTGCTCTAAACCACAAACTTGAACCGGCTGCTGCTTGGCTTGGCAAGGGCCCTTCACAGACTGCGGCCCACGCGTCCCTCCCGCTCGTCTCCCCAATCCGCTGCGTGAACGCCAAGTTCAGTGGAGCCAGGCGGAGCCTCTCAGCGGTGCCTTCACAGCATGCTCCGGGGACGCTGGCCCAGTCTCCAGCCATCCCCTGGACGAACGCCCGAGCGATCTTCAGATCTTCCACACCCAGTGCGAATGTCACGTCTGCAGTGGAGCTTCCTGACCCCTCCTTACACAGTAGGCTGGTCTGTGCCCCCGCTGCTTCTCTGAGAGTCCCTGAGTTGCCTACACCAGTGAGGCCGGAATCCTCAGCCACTTTGCTCGACATGTTAAAGAGAGGGTCATCCTGTGAGGCTATCGGCTTAGGGGCCAGCCAAGAGCCGGCAGCGAACTGGTAGGTATGCAGCCCTCAGGGGCCCATTGCCCCAGCCCCACCCATCCGACTCTGAAGGGAGGCTGAGCAGAGGGCAGCGGAGGCTGAGAAAGGAGAAAGGCAAAATGCAGAGGCAGTGCGGATGTGGCCAGTGGGGAGGAGGGACAAGCCCACGTGCGGGCCAACCTCATCCCATCAGCGGCCACGCCTGGAAGCCTGGACTTTGGCAGACTGGCATAGGCAGGTGAGAGAGGAGCCCAGCCTTGCTCATTCCGTGAAGCTCTGTGCTGCCATGCCCGTGAGGACCTGGGAGCTGCCCCTGCTCCTTCTGCTGGGGCTGGGGCTGGGGCTGAGGTCCCAAGAAGCCCTGCCCCCACCCTGTGAGAGGTAAGCATGTGGGCAAGGCTGGGATAGGGGGCAAGGCCTGGTGAGGCCTCACACTCTGAGGGTCAGTGCTTCAGAGGGACGGGAAGAAAAGAGGTCTTCCTGGGTAGCATGCTCCATGTGAGGCACTGCACCCGCATCCCGGCCTGGGACGGACAGACTGAGGCTGGCCCAGAAACCAGCCCACAGCCTGCGGCCCGCGCCCACCCCACCCTCCAGCGGCTCCTTCACCCCAGCAGGGCTGGGCTCAGGGTGTCAGCAAACCTTCTGCCCAGCGTCCCTGGCCTGGGGGTGATGGAGCCTCAGAGCCTGGGTGTGGGCACCTGGGTTCAAGGCCTGGTCCTGATGCCCTCTCTGGGCCCGGGGCAAGTCCCGCCTCCTTCCTGAGCCCCAGCTTCCCTCAGCAAATGCAGAGATGAGTGAGCCTCCCTGCTCCCCCCAGGACGCTGCCCCCTGTGCTCATGCAGACTCTCAGAGGTCTCACCACCCCACTGCGCCCCCAGCTCTCGCAAGAAGAGGAAAAGCAGCAGCTGAATAGGGAGAGAAGCACAGCTCACAGTGTGTTGCTCTCCAGCCAGAGTGAGCAAAAGACATTGGTGAAGTGAGAGGGGCTGTGTGAGCAGAACTGTGGAGGGAACTTCCCTGAGCTGACCTGAGAGAAGGTGCAGGCATGGCAACTGCAATGCAAAGGCCCTGGGGCACCTTTCAAGCATTAGGAACAAGGCCCTCACACTGGGACAGAGGTGGGAGCAGGCCCGGAGGCAGAAAGGGGTCCAAGGAAGAGGGGACCACGGCTCGTGCTCCAGGCGCAGGACTGGAGATGGTGCCGAGTGGTTCAGTAGCGGATACATTTTGAAGACTGCGCTTTTAAGACTTGTTGATGATTGACTGTGGACTCAGAAAGAAAAGGATGCATCTGGAGTGGTTCATAGGTTTTGTCCTGAGCAGCTGTAATTTGGAGTCCGGAAGGGCTGCGTGATCAAGTGTTTGGGCAAGGGTTTGGTTGTTTACCAAGTGTGTAGAAAGAACAGACTCACCAGCTAATAATTCCCATGGTGATGGCTTATTTCCGTGAAGACACCTATGAAAGCCATCAAAAGCAGCAACCGATAGATAGGGCAGAGTCCAGGAGAAGGTCAGCTCCGTCTCCCAAGGGATCGACACGAACAGCACTTCCTTTCTCCAGCCACAGAGTGTGGCCACACACCCAGGGTGTCGCCAAGCAGAGCACCCCCTGAGTCTTGGTGTCAAGCCATTCTCGGGGGTCAGTCCTAGAGCCTGCAGTACCTGACTGGGTGACCTTTGTTACTTGGTCTCCAGATCGCCAAAGGTCAGACTGATATTGGGTGGCCAAAGGCCCACTCAATAAATCATACTATAGCATAAAGTATCTGGCCTGGTCAAAGGTCCCAGGGAATCAAAAACATGCAGGGTGTGAACCAAGCAAGCCTTCGCTACATCAGCCACCGGCTGCATGATTAAGAGTTCGTGTGGTCTTCGTCCTGGGTTCCTGGGGGGTGACCTCTACGCCCTTGACACTCTAAGTACCAAGATTGTCTTTGTGGTTCATGGTAGGCCTTGATAGTTTCTGCCAATGAGGTGACTTGGAGTGGATCTTTTGGTAGCTTCTACTTGGGATAGGACCCAAGGTGGGCGTGGGCTATGTCAGAAATATGGACCATGTGTTTAAAGGTTGGAGCTTTGAACCACAACATCAGCTCAACCTCTTGATCTTCAGGAAAGGGAAGGTGACTGGAGATTGAGTTCAATCACACAACCAATGATTCGATCAGTAATAACTATATAATGGAAAGTAATAAAAACTCTGGACCATGCCAGGGGTGAAGGGGCACACCTATAATCCCAGCTACTTAGGGGAGCTGAGGCAGGAGGATTCCAAGTTCAAGGTCAGCTTGGATAGCTTGGCAAGACCCTGTCCCAAAATTTAAAGAAATAAATGTTGGAGGTGTTGCTCCGAGGTAAAGCACTTGCCTACCATGTGCAAATCCCTAGGTTCAAACCCCAGTACCACAAAAATAAAAACAAAGCACATGAACAACAGCAGCAACAATAGCGGGAAACCCTCTGGACCCCAGAGACAGGCGGAGCTTCCCAGGTGAGGAGAACAGATGAGCCAGGAGGGTGAGACATGGTGATTCCACAAGAAGGGCCCAAAGCCCAGGGTCCCCCAACCTCACCCTATGTATGTCGTTTGGTGGGTCCTGATTTCTGTCCTTCTAATACAACTGTAGTAGTCGGTATAGTGCTCTCCTGAGTTGTTCCAGCAAATCGTTGGATCTGAGGGGTTCATGGGAACCTCCACATTTATAGCCAGTTGGCCAGGAGTGTGGTTGGCCCGGGAACCCCTGAACTTGTAGCTGGCAGTCTCTCCGGGGACAGTGCTCTCAAACTGTGTGGGTGTCTGCAGTAACTCCAGATGGGAGATCCAGAATTAAATTGCAGTCGGTATCAGAAAAAAATGTACGATTTGTGAGAATGATGCAGATTCTTTGAAACGTGTGATTTGGGGGAGGCAGGGATGAAAAGTCTTGGGGCAAGGAAATTTTATTTCCTGGGTGGTTACAGGTTCCTTGTGCTATTGAAGATCAGTCGCTCAGCATTCAGTTAACTGGAAATCAGAATTCCTTCTTAGTGGGATTTAGAGATAATCCCAAGCCGGTTGTGGTGGTGCATGCCTGTAATCCCAGCACTAGGGAGGCTGAGGCAGGAAGATGGTTGTGAGTTCGAGGCCAGCCTGGGCTACAAAGTGAGCTCAAGGCCAGCCTGAACTGCATAGCGAGACCCTGTATCAAAAAGACAAAAAACAAACAAACAGAGATAATCCTAGTTCCTGGGAAGGTGACTCGATTATGCATAAGGCAATACAGGCTAGTAAGAAAAAAGCAAAAGGTACAATGCCTATACATTATTATATATAACAGCTAAAGTGTACGGAAGAGATGGGCCATGCGTAAAGCCTACTCAGTCAGAGTACAGGCTCCAGCTCCTGACACAGGAGCGAGCCCAGGCACTGCGGTACCAAAGCTGACAGCAAAGCCTTCCTGGCTGCTGTAGCCCTAGTGAGTTCTACAGTTAAATTTAGAGGATGTAAAAATGCAAGGGTCGGTTGAGTCAAAATGAAAGTTCAGATGAAAGTGGAACATTTAAACAGGCTCTTTGTGAAGTGATTGTTTCTCTCTCACCCAAATGTCTCATGGAAAGGGAAACAAAGTCTGCTTGGATCTGAGGGGTTCGTGGGAACCTCCACATTTATAGCCAGAATGGCCTCCCCACCAAGCATCATGGAAGGAAAACCTACTGGTGTTGCTCTAACAGGGGCCGCCGGGAGGAATTAAGGTTGATGGGGTTTAGCTAAAAGTCTGGATGAAAACAGGTACATTTTAACAGGTTTTATTTATGTTCTGGTGGTGAGGATCCAACCCAGGAGCTTGTGCTGAATGAAAGCCCTGCCACTGTGCCACACTCCCAGCCCCCATCCGGACAGACTTTGTATGGAGTGGTTGTGTCCCTTTGACTTGCTTGCATTTTTTTTTTTTTTTTTTTTTTGGTTTTGTTTTTTTTTCCTGTACCGGGAATCGAACTCACGACCTTGCACTTGCCAGGCAGGTGCTATGCCGCTGAGCTAAATCCCCAGCCCCCTGACTTGCTTGTGTTATGGGAGTGAATGCTTCATCTGACGTGAGAACATTTCCCCCGTGCAGTGTGATGAAGCAGAGGCGCATGACACCTCACATGGCCATCAGGGAGTGACCACTGGACCTTCCAAGGGGAGACTGGTGAGACGCCTGGGAGAGACAGTGGGCCTGGCGCACCTCCCAGCATGACTCCCAAGACTTTGGAGTAGAGAATTTCCAGTAGAGGGGTAATGATTAGCTTGCTGTCAAACATTATTAGAAATTACCCCTAAAACTGAAGAAAGAACATGAGAGAACCTTGAAACCTCAACTACCTAGAACGCCTTGGGTGATGGCTGAAAATGCTCTCAGAGTTAAGGCAGTGGCTGTGATAAAACGTGCACGGGCGATACAGGAACGTGCAGCTGAGGACACAGAGTCACTGTGTCCAAGAGTAGGTGGCCTCCTTTCCCCTAGGACTGGCTTCGGATGCGAGCGAGAAGCTGTTCGCTTCCATTGCCACCCGGACCGTGGCCTAGAGCAGCTCTCGACGGGCCCCAGAGCTGTTTGCTTGTGGGTGCAGCTCTGAGCTAAGCAGTGTGCTTGCTGTTTGGAGGCTTCTACTCCCATCAGGAAAACATGACGCTAAATCAGTGTGGCTTGATCTGCCCTGTACGTTGTTTGCCTTTGTGTACTGAAGACTTAGAGCAACGAGATATATGTTTTGTGCCTCAAAAGTCACTGTCACACTGAGAGGTAACTTAGTTTGCATATGGCTGAAGGTGTCCCACAGCCTTCCTTGTGTAAGGACGGAGCTGCTCCCCAGAGAGTCTGGGCAGCCTGGATGGTGCCTGCAGCTCTAATTCCATTAGACAGCCCTCCTGCACTGTGTGAAGAGCTGTCTGTCCGCATTTGCCCGTGTGGCACACAGTGGCATGGGCCATGCTGCCGCTGCTCTATTTTGTGCCTTAGACCCAGGGGCTTTCTAAGCATTTAATTACCAAGGTTTACAGTTGCAGTGATTAATCTGACGCACAGTCCAAGGGCCGGGTAGGGAGTAGCTCCGGGAAATTCTCTTCCAAATGCTCTGCCCTCCTTTCTAGGAGATGGAACCTAAACCTGAGTCAAACGACTGGCACATTCCCACAGGTACACTCAGTCCTCCGCAGCTGGTCCTGCTCATCACCTTACCGTATGACCAGGGCATCGGAGCCACGCTGCCTGGTTTTGTGGGTGGCCATTGGACGTCATTGGGGCTGAAAGGAGGGGTGCTCTTGGCCGATGCCTGGCCCTTTCCCTTCAGGCTTGTGTAATCGCACTGAGGGACGATGCCATTCGCTAGTCCCACGTCTCTCCAGGCAGCAGTGCGATGTTGGATTTTCCCCATTGCACAACGCTGAGCTACTGTTCCTCCTCCTGTCCTCCTGATGCTGATTTTTACAAGCTTTTCCACTTTTGCAAGGGACATTAGGTTCACCCCCTGCGCTGGTCCAGACTGCTGGTAGCAGTGTGAGTCTAGCAAGCGCTCCCTCTCAGCCCTTGCTAGGAGATAGGGGTGCAAAGGAGCAGAATCAGCGGGCCGCCTCAGGCTCCAGGCAGCACAGCTGTTTCCCTGATAGGCTACCGTAGCTAGATGGGTTGAACCCACCACCCCAGGGACGCTTCAGAATTCTTGCAGGGAGGTTTCAGGGTACACTTGGAATTCCTTGCTTGGGAACCATCCCTGCTTCTGACACCCACAAAAGGCTCTGGTCCTGGGACCACTGTGTAAGGTAGAAAGAAATGTATCTCAGTGAAGGGGGGTGGGAGCTGTACAGTCATACCAGCGGCCCGCTTCCCCAAGATCCGCCCGGATAACAGAGGAATCCGTGCAGAGGGGGCCCTTCCTTTGCCCCCTTGGGTTGAGTGTGACCACACTCTTGTGAAGGTGTGTAAGCCGTCTCTCAGGCCGTTGTCTCCCCACTGCAGACAATCAGTGTTGAATAGGTTGAGCCACTCTGAAGAGTCCTCACCACATGACATGACCATTAGACGTGGTATCCCTTTACCCATTCTTGTACACTGTCTGTCTGTCTTTGTTTCTTTTTATAGAGGGTCTCATTATGTAGTTCAGGCTGATTTTGAACTCACTATGCAGCCCAGGCTGGCCTCGAACTCACAGCACCCTCCTGCTTCAGCCTCAGGAGTACTGGGTTTATAGATGTACAGCAATACACCCAGCTATATACGGTATTTCTTGATCTGAGGAAAAGTTACCCCAAAGTCCACATTGATACAATATCATCCATTCCAAGATAATATCTTACAGAATTTGCATCTACATCCAGCTACGTACAGCTACTTTAATGCCCATCCCCAAGCACCGGTAGTGCTTTCCACAGGATTATGCCCACACAGGTGTCCCTTGTTTATTTATTTTTTATTTTTTGGTCTTTTTGAGACAGGGTCTCACTATGCAGTTCAGGCTGGCCTTGAGCTCACTTTGTAGCCCAGGCTGGCTTTGAACTTGCAGCAATCTTCCTGCCTCAGCCTCCCAAGTGCTGGGATTACAGGTGTGTACCACTATGCCCAGTTCAGGTGTCCCTTTAAAGGTCAAATTTTTCACTGCCCGTCTGCCAGGCCATTGGCTACTGCCTATGAGTCAGTAAAAACCCAAATATGGTGGCTTTTATCATTCATTTCTGTCATCCCTGCAAAAGCAGCACACAGTTCAGTCCCGTAGGCTGATTCTTCCTACTTTCTTCAAAGCATCTTCACCTTTCAGATAATATACCACATCCACCCCTAAACCCAGCAGCTTTCCCCTGGTCAACGAAGAGCTGTTCACAGAGTGCCCCCAGGTGGCCCCAGGACTTATCATCACCCCATGTGGCTTCCCAAGCTGGCCCTGAGGGAAAGCACTGCCTGCTGCAGACAGAAAGGGCCACACGCTTGCGTGACATGCAGTGTGTTCCTGAGGGAGCCATCGCCACCACAAAGAGGAGCTCCCCAGCGCTGCCTGCTTTTTTTTTTTTTTTTTGTCTTTTTGAGACAGGGTCTCACTATGTAGTTCAGTCTGGCCTTGAGCTCACTTTGTAGCCCAGGCTGGTCTCGCACTCTCAAGAATCCTCCTGCCTCAGCCTCCCGAGTGCTGGGATTACAGGCGTGCACCACCACGCCCGGCCAGTGCTGCCTTCTTTATCAGAGTGGGACCTGGACATCACCAAGCATCACAGGCGTTTTGAGTGTCAGGATTATTTCATGTCCCGAAGTCATGGAGCTGTTTCACTGAATGCTCCAGAGTAAGCTAGTAATTCTCTTTCACTGGTGTCTCTTTTACATCTATGTCTACAAATGTTCTGATCGAAGATCTCAGCAATCTCTACATGGTACAATTCACAGACGTTTGCCATAATCCCTTGCACACGAGGCTACTGTGCAGACTTGGTCTCTGCCAGGCCTCTGACATGTTGCTGATTAGAGTGCTAAGTTCCTTCCTGCCCCCAGGTGCCCCGTGCTGTCTCTAAAGATCAGCCAGTGTGGGCTCAGCAATTGTACCATACAAGCACCTGCTCATTCTCAGCTGTGTTTCACTGCCACCTGCAAACTACCGCCACAGCACACAGGTGTCCCACGCACGCCTGCACAGCCCCAGAGAACATACTCTGAGCAGGCTGTCCAGGAACCTTGTCCTCTCTTCTGACCCGCTTTCTCCCTGCTGTCTCTGCAGCCAGATTTACTGCCACGGGGAGCTCCTGCATCAGGTTCAGATGGCCAAGCTCTACCCTGACGACAAGCAGTTTGTGGATATGTCACTGTCTGCAGCTCCAGGTGAGGCCACCTCATCTTCTGAAGCTTTACCCAAAGATGGCAGGGTTGCGGGCAGGTGCCTCTGATCACACAGGGCGTGGGGACACTGCTGACCCCTCCCTGCCTGCTGCTCTCCAGACCAAGTCCTGCAGAGTTTCAGCACGCTGGCCGCGGTCTACAACCATAGCATCCCCAAGCAGCAGCTGCAGGAGTTTGTCCAGCAATACTTCCAGCCCGTGGGGCAGGAGCTGCTGCCCTGGACCCCTGAGGACTGGAAAGACAGGTACAACCTGGACAGAGGACAGGAGAAGGCCCTGCTGACAGGGCTGCCGTCCTGAACCCTGCGGTGTGCTCCTGCAGCCCCCAGTTTCTGCAGAAGATCTCTGACCCCAAGCTGCGCACCTGGGCAGAGCAGCTGCACCAGATCTGGAAGAAGCTGGGAAAGAAGGTAGCAGTGTCCTGGGCCTGAGCCAGGGCTGACCCACAGTACTGGAGATGGGAGAGAGCTGTACCTGTTGGGGACCCACAGTACCCCAGAATACAGATGTTTCCCGAAAACACAGCCGCTCCCCACTTGCTCCTGGAATGGAAGCCCTCTAGAAAGCACTTCCGAGGTCAGGGGAGCATCTGCTCCTCACCTTCACCTCCTCCAGGAAGTCTCGCCAGCCTCTCCTGCCCCCTCCAGGCTGCCCGCCCCCTCCTCCAATGCCACATGAGCAAAGCCTCACTTCCTGCCAGGCTCTCTCCTCTCCTGAGGGCCTGGGCCAGGCTCTGGCTCGGGGACAGTAACTGCGTGTCATTGCCCATGCTCAGCACAGTCCCCAGGGACTTTCTCCCCTTGCTCTGAGGCTCTGAGAGCCCACGGTTTGCCCACAGCTACCCAGGCCACCTGCCCCCTCCCCCTGCTCAGCACCTGTGGCCCGGTGCTCCCGGCATGGAGGGCTGCTCAGGGCTCCTTTGCCAGCTGGGCCCCTCGGGAACCCACCTGATCCCTCAAAATGATGAGGCAGGCTGAGCTGCTCACGGAAGCCACGCACACCTGGGAGCGGTGGGAAGGGGAGAGAGCGGACCTGACGGGCCCCACAGGCCCCACGCTGCTCCTGCCCTTGCTCTTGTCCTCCACACCCATCACGCCTGGGGAAGGGGGTGGGGGTTGGCCCTCCTTTTGGTTAAAGGAGGAGAGGTTTGGCTCAGTCCGTAGAGGTTTCAGTCCGTAGTTGGCTGGCTGCCAGGCAGGTGGCGTGGCAGAGGGGCATTGCAGAGGAGAAACTGTTCATGGCAGGCAGAAGGTAGCAAAGAAGAAAAAGCAGCAAGCCACAAGCAGTCCCGGCAGCCCTCTTTCTGTCGCTTATATTCCGTCCAGGCTCCTGCCCTTAGCACTCGGGTCCAGGGAGAGGCTTCCATTGTCCACCCTCAGAACTGTGCCGAACCAATCAGTGGACTGTAGTTCAGTAATCACACACCTTTGACCCCAGCGTCACACACCATAGATCCAGCCACCTCTAAAAAGAAGTGAGACTTTGGGGGACATCTAGATACCAGCCGTAACACCTGTCCAGTGCCAAGCTGCGTGGTCAGCTTCTACACACCATCAGGGGGAGGCGGAGGCTGGCACATGGGGGGGCAGGGTGAGGACACCCAGGCTTCAGCAGCTGGTCCTTGACCACACAGCTGCGCAGCAGCAGACACAGCCTGGCCCCACAGCTATGGGGCCAGCGCCTCCATGCCGAGCCTCCTGCAGCCCCACCCCCCGCTGTCCCTCTCTCCTGACTCCAGATAAAGCCAGAAGTTCTCAGCCACCCCGAGCGATTTTCTCTGATCTACTCAGAACACCCCTTCATTGTTCCCGGCGGGCGCTTTGTCGAGTTCTACTACTGGTTAGTACCTAGGCCCAAGAGCAGGGGGTCCTATGGGGCCAGCCATGTTAGGGAACTCTCAGCCAGTGCTCTGCCAGCCTGGTGTGTGGGGCCGGGGGTAGCAGTGGGGTGATGCCTGTCTGCCCTTCCCCAGGGACTCCTACTGGGTCATGGAGGGTCTGCTCCTGTCTGAGATGGCCGAGACGGTGAGGGGCATGCTGCAGAACTTCCTGGACCTGGTCAAGACGTAAGAGGAGGGCTGGAGAAGCCGGTGTGCCAGGGGCTTGGGCAGAGGATGCCTCAGCGGGCCCCTGTCTCGGCAGCTACGGGCACATCCCCAACGGCGGACGCATATACTACCTGCAACGGAGCCAGCCCCCGCTCCTGACCCTCATGATGGATCGGTACATCGCTCACACCAGCAATACCACCTTCCTGCAGTGGGTGCCTCTCCTCTGCTGCCCTGCAGGCCACCCCCTCCCTGAGACCGGGGGAGGGGGAGGGCTTGCCCAGGCTAAGGTGTAGCACACGGGACTCCATCCTAGGGACAACATCGAGACCCTAGCCTTGGAACTGGACTTCTGGACTGTGAACAGGACCGTCTCTGTGAACTTGGGAGGAGAGAGCTACATCCTGAATCGCTATTATGTCCCTTATGGGGGACCCAGGTGAGGAACGGCCCAGCCCGAGTGTCAGTCTCTTGCCATTCACTCTAGCACGAGCGTCAAGAAGACAGGGCTGGAAGAAGAGGGATTTAGTCCCCCCTCTCAGATGTGACATTGAGTGCACTCGGCCACCCAGGGCTGTGGGGCTCCTGGGCGGCTGAATCAAGAGGGCTGGACTTTCTGCTTGAGCAGAGGGCTCAGTCCCTGCTGGTGCCAAGCTGCCCGTCTCTCCCCTCTGCCAGGCCGGAGTCCTATAGCAAAGACGAGGAGTTGGCAAACACCTTGCCGGAAGGTGAGCGGCACCAGGAAGGAGGGCAAGGGGTGGCAGCTGCACCTCTGAGGCACACGTCAGGCCTTGGTCTGCTGCTAGGTTATCCTGCAGCCAGGCCTGGCCTGGGCCCCCCCTCTGTCCTACAGGGCAGCGAGAGGCTCTGTGGGCCGAGCTCAAGGCTGGGGCTGAGTCAGGCTGGGACTTCTCTTCCCGCTGGCTGGTGGGAAGCCCAAACCTCGACTTGCTCAGCAGCATCCACACCAGCAAACAGGTGCCAGTTGACCTGAACGCCTTCCTGTGCCAGGCAGAGGAGCTGATGAGCAGCTTCTACGCCAGACTGGGTGAGCACTGGGGGAAGGCGCTGGCCAGTGGCCCCACCTTCACAGTGGAATCGCTGGTAGCTCCATAGGTTAAAGGGCTTTCCAGGTGCTCAGAGCCTCTCCAGGAGGCCGGTGCTAACACTGTACATCAACCCAGGGGTACAAGGCACAGAGCTACCACATCCTCACGCTGACTTCCCTCCCTTTCCTCCCACGACGGTCTCTAGGGCCTGGGGAAAACACTCCAGTCTGCGCAGCCGAACACCCTCCACTCCCTTTCCCCGGCGCTGCCCCTTGGGTCCCTCAGAGCCAGGAAATTCACAGGGCCAGTGTCCTGTGGAAGATGGACCCCAGGGACACACTACTGCTCAGGGACTCTGCAAACTACAAGCAGGAAGTGTGGGCTACAGGGAGACCCAGCCCCTCGGGCCTCAGGGTTCCTTAGCAGTGGAGGAGAAATACACATGGAGGAAGCCAAGGTAGAGCTGGGGCTGGCAGTGTAGATCCGCAGAGCATGCGCCACGCGTGAACAAGACCCAGGGCTTCATTCCCAGCACCACGAAACAAACAACAAAAACAAAACACGAAGTAGAGTCATCCAAGGCGTGGGGCCCAATGGCTGGCTCGGTCTAAAGGCAGTGCCTTCCAGGGGACAACGTCCAGGCTGCCAGGTACAAAAGCTTGCGGGACCAGCGCCTGGCTGCCATGCAGGCTGTCCTGTGGGATGAGCAGAAGGGTGCCTGGTTCGACTACAACCTTGAGAACGGAAAGAAAAACTTTGAGTTTTATCCATCCAACCTCTCCCCGCTTTGGGCCGGCTGCTTCTCTGACCCTGGTGTTGTGGACAAGGCTCTGAAATACCTACAGGTGAGGAGACAGTGGGCAGCTGTGGCCCGTGGAGTAGAACAGCCCCCTCCTGACTCTGAGCAGAGACCTGGCAGGAACAGCCCCTTACTACCTGTGCCTGTCTTACTCTGCTGGTCCTGCTGTGGCCACCAGGGGACAGCAGAGAGCCAAGGAGAGCCGGGCCGAAGGGGCACGGTTGGCTTCCTGAGGGCCCAGGGTCCTGGCTCCCTGTCCAGGCTCCACCCACTGTCACAGCAATGCCTGGAACCTTCCAGGACAGCCAGATCCTGACCTACCAGTATGGCATCCCGAGCTCTGTCCGGAACACAGGACAGCAGTGGGACTTCCCCAATGGCTGGGCGCCCCTGCAGGACCTGGTCATCAGAGGTAGGGAGGCAGGCAGGGCGCACCTGCCAGGGACCAAACCCAGCGTGCAGGACTCGGCCGCCCTGGTGCTGGGAGGCGTGAACAGGGCTGCGGGGCCCCTCGTCCTTTCTCTGGCTCCTGTCTCGTGCCCCGACCCCATCAGCAAATAGGTCCACCCCGCCTGTCCGTGGGACCAGCCTCCTCCCTCCCTCCAAACCCAGGCGCTGGATCTCGGGCAGCTCGGCCTGTGGCTCCAGGGAGGAGGTCTCAGGGCCCGGCTTCTTTCCCTCCTTGGGGACAGTCAGGCCTGGCCTCTGTTCCGCCTGGGGTGGGGGCTCTGGAGATTCAGGTCCTGCTGGGTTGGCGTCTAGGCTTGGCCAAGTCACACTCACCTCAGACCCAAGAAGTGGCTTTCCAGCTGGCCCAGAATTGGATCCGAACCAACTTTGACGTCTACTCACAAAAGTTAGCCATGTACGAGAAGGTGAGCTGACAGGGGCTGTCCCACCGAGCCTTCTCCCCAGGCGAGGTGGGAAGTGGTAGGTTTTGCAGAGCTCAGGGCAGCCTGGCCAGGGCTGTGGCGGCACCCAGTGGGCATTTGGGGGCACTGCAGGGGCAGGCATTGGGGAGAGCAGCTTCTCCCCAGGGGACTCCGGTGGTTTGCTGCCCTGGGGCTGGGGACAGTGCATAACCTCGTCTCGGTTTTCTCCCCAGTATGACATCAGCAATGGACAGCCGGGCGGCGGAGGGGAGTATGAAGTTCAGGTGAGCTGACCTACACCTCACAGGGAACCCTGGCTGGGTCACCCCAAGCCCACCTGCACGGGGAAGACTCGTCAGTGCTCCTTGGTATCCCAAGCGGGGAAGAGACTGCATGTCCCCAAAACAGGGCTTGGGACTCCCACAGACTGGCCCACCGGCCCTGCCTCTCTCCAGGAGGGGTTCGGCTGGACAAATGGAGTAGCCCTGATACTAATGGACCACTATGGGGACCGGCTGACTTCAGGGACCCAGTTGGCTTTCCTGATCCCCCATTGCCTGGTGGCCGCCTTTCTGCTCCACCTCCTGCTGGGCTTCCTGTGACTGACCACGGTGGCCACAAGGACTGACCAGGAGGGTGGCTTCACGCCCACCCGTCTGGCAGCACGTGATCTGCTCCAGCTCCTGCCTCATTAAACCTCTGCACCCAGCCAAGTGCGGCAGTGCAGGACTGTAATCCCACTCTCCTGGGCAAGAGACCCTGTCTCAAATAAAACATAAACATAGAAGGCCCTGGGTTCGATCCCAGGTACTGGAAAAAACGCACCTTCCCTTCCTTCCGCTTCTTACCTCCCAGCTTGTCCTCTGCCAACGTGTATCTATGGCAGAGCCATGACATGCACGCCAGTGGCTGGGACCCAAGCCCCTCCTGGCATCTTTACAGGGCAAGATGTCCTCTTCTGAGGGGCAAAGCTAGCCCTTTCGCCCCAGGCACCCCAACCCCATACAAGTACATAGTCCAAATGCTTTATTGTTCGGCTGAAATGCTTACAAATACTGAAAAACACCCAGCCCGGGCCCAGGTAGTCCGGGGCCAGTGCTGGGGACAAGGGCAGGGGAGGTGGACTTAGTGTTAAGGCGCGAAGGGCTGAGGCCAGACAGCTGAGGCCTGGTCCTCCGCTCTCCTTTTCCATCACCCTTCGGAGGCAGAAGGGGGAGGCGGCGGGAACGCGGAGCCCTCCGTCTGCAGCTCCCCCCTGCGCAGGCTTTCGGCTGAGTGCTGAGCAACCCTCCCTTTCTGTCAGCACCCGAGGACGGCCCTTTTAGCTTCCTCTCCTGTGCACCGCACTGCTCCTCTGGCTAGGGATCGCCAGCATCTTCCCTTCTGGCTCTAAGCAAGGCACAGTGGAAGGGAGAGGTGAGTCGGGGGGCAGCAGGCCGTGCGTCAGGGCGGGAGACACCGGCAGGGAGCAGGTGTTCGTCCCTTCCCCCACACGAGGTGCCCATGGGGCTGGGCTGGAGAGTTGACGGCACGTACCCTCAGATGGCCCACGGCTGAAGCAGTGGGCTGAGCTGCGGAGCAGTGGCAATTAGTACTATGTTACCATGGCAATGGAGAAGTCACCATGGAGACCAGAGAGATGGGTCTCCAACAAGAGGATGGGGCTGGGACCTCAAGGCTGACGCTTGAGGTCTCTGGCCTTTGGGCCGAGTAATAAAAAGTATAAATGGGGGAGAAGGGCAGGGCAGAGCACGCTGCCTGAGCCGCTGCCCAACTCCAGATGTGGCTCTGCTCAGCCCCTCGAGGGGGTGAGGCGAGAGGGGATCTTTGGCAGATTCTGGTACCATAATTCGTCCTTTACGAAGAGGAAACAGGCTGGGGAGAGCAGGCACCAGGTCCGAGCTGAGGCATTCTCAGACAGCTCTTCAGCCCCGGGGCCCAGGCACAACCTTGAACAGATCTCACAGGTCCTGGGCTCCCAGGAGCCAGCACACGCCCTCCCCAGCTTCCCTCTTCTGAGCCCAGAACCTCGCAGGACTGAGCTCCTTACAGAGTACTATGAAGTCTTCTTGCACGAAAGCCCCGGTGGCGCTCGGTACGCCCTGCCTCTGTGAGGCTGGTTCCCACTGCGTGGCTCTATCTCCAGGGTGAGCACAGCAACAGGTGCCAGGCAGGGGTCCTAGGGCTGGGGGAGGGGGTCCGAGAGGCCCATGACAGTCAGTTCATGAACTGAGTGTAGCCCTCAGCCCCTGTGACGATGACATCCATCCAGATGCGCATGGCCTCTGCAGACGGGGCCACCATGTAGTACAGCCGGTCGTGGGTCTTCACGCAGAAGGTGAGAGCTGGATTCGGGCTCTGTGGAGGGAAGAGAGGAAGGTCCCGAGATGGGGCTCACACAGGCCAGAACACCCTGCCTCCCAGTCGCCTTCCCCTCACGACCCCGGAAGCCCTGGAGTGCAGGGGCCGGGTCCTAAATGGCCCTAAGCTCAGCCCCACTACTCCTGTGACCCAATGCTCCCCCTCTTATGCCACGGCAGTGCTGTTTTCTCAGCCCTGTGGACCCCGGCAAGGGCATATCAGGCGGGGGCTCTGGTCCCTGCACCCCCAGGTTCACAGGTGGATGTAAGAGAATGAGTCACAAAGGGCTGTTCTAGTGAGGTCAGTCTCTCAGCAAAAGAAGCGGCAGACAGGAAAAGCTACACAAGGATTTGAGGCCAAGAGCAGCAGTCAAGGCTGGGGCAGGCATGGAAGGGCTGGTGGGAGGGCGGCTGGCCCCAGCCTCAAACACCCCGTCTTATTAACTTCCCGATGCCAGTGCAGTCTCTGGGGCTCCTCCGCCTCGTCTGCTCTCCCTTCTGCACAGCCTGTCCCCATAGGGTGACATCCTGCTGCCTTCTCCAGAGAAGGAGACAGCAAGGAGACTCAAGCTCCACCCTCCCTCAGACCTGAGGCAAGTTAGAGGGAGGGCGAGTCGGGGCAGGGGCGAGGGGGCGCAGGAAGCGTTAATGTGCATAGCGCTGGTTAATGGGGGGCGGGGTACCTCGGTCACCATAGTGAAGTGGCAAAACCTCTTCTGGGAAGGGGAGAGGGAGAGAGGAAGAGAAAGTCGACAAAAAGAACAAGGACTGGGCCGTGCCCACTGCAGAGGGCAGGCTGTAGCTCAGCTCCTAGACCGCCCCCCCCAGCCCCTTCCCCAGGGCCGCCCTTCCGGCCCCTCTGCTGCTCGCTGCCTCTGACCTTGGCCGCGCTGCGCAGGTGGTCGTAGTACACTTCCTCGATGGCCTGGAAGTAGATGACCCCCTTCAGCTTCGTCTCGTGCTTGTCTGCAGAGGGAAAGGGGTCGGGCTGAGGAGGCCTGCCAAGGCAGGGGCGCCAAGGGCATGAGCTTTCCGTCAGGTCCCAGCCTCGAGGAGCTCCGCAAGAGCCCACAGGGAGCCTGAAGATCTAGATAACGCTGAGCCCCGCTCGCCATGAGAGACAGGTACATCACACACCAGTGCATTATCACCGTCACCCATCAGAACAGCAAAAACACACACCTTACTTCGGCAAGGCCGCGAAGAAACAGGCAGTCTAATAAACAACGCGGGGAATGCAAGTTGGTAAAACCCTTGGTCGCGTCTATCAAATTAGAAAGGCACTCGTTCTTTGAGCCAGTGATATAATATAAATACCTAGACACAGATATTTCTGGTATAGAAAGACCCCTAAGGCACAGTAAGTGGTAAACAATGTATTGTCCGCTACCTCTTATATAGGAAAAAGTGAGAATATGTTCGCATTTGTTTAGTCTCCCACAGAGACCCTAGAGGATACACAAGACATTACTGACAGGTAGAATACTTTCCGACCTAGGCACTTCACATGTTTTGATTTCTGAACTACGTGGATATGGGGTCGGGACATAAGCAGGCGGACCCTGCCAGAGCAGGGCCACCACGCAGGCAGAGGGGCGAGAGCACGAGGGAAAGGTCAGGGCCTGGGCCACTGTATCTGTTGTAAACCTGCTCAGGCAACACGACTGACCTCCTCACCCAAGAGCCTGAGTCCCACGGGAAAAGCTGGGTTAATCACTAAACTCAAGTGACACAGGCAGTAAGCTCCTTCTCCACCCCATGGAGGGCGGAGCTTTGGAAGGCAAATCGAACACCGCTGCTCCAGCCCACAGACTTGAACCGGCTGCCTGCTTGGCTTGGCAAGCGCCCTTCACAGACTGCGGCCCACGCAGCCCTCCGGCTGAGCTCGCCACCTCCGCTGCACCAACGCCAGGTTCAGTGGAACCAAACCGAGCTTCTCCATGGTCTCTTCACAGATCATTGTTTTGTTTCGTTTTTTTGCGTTACCAGGGATCGAACTCAGAACCTTGCCCTTGGCAGGCAGGCACTTATGCCACTGAGCTGTATCCCCAGCCCGCACAGATCATTCTTCACACACCAGAATGCTATCCTGCACATTACCTGACACACTCAGAATCGACGGGATGTGGCTGAGCACCCTCTATGCAGTGTCTGCCGGTGCTAGCGGGAAGAAGTACAGACACACAGCACGCTCACTAGCTGACGTAGTTAGGAACCCCACAGCACACCGTGTCTTGGGTTGTCAGGAGTAGAAAACATGGGGACACAGGCAAAGTAGTCAGCACGGTGTCTGACACACAGTGTGGCATCCGTCACTACGCCCTGGGCTGATGTCACACGGCGGACAGACCCCAGATCGCTGTGAGAGCTCAGAGGAGAGCAGGAGCCACTCCTGCGAAGAGGGACTGCGGAAGCCTTCAGAGAAGTGCTGTCTAATCTGACCCAGCAGCACGGGGTTTCCATCGAGGAGCAGGAGGCTGCAGGCCCCTCAGGCAAGGTACACCAGGACCTGACCCTGCCACACGCCTGACTCCACCGTTTCCTCCTCAGGACGAGGACCTGGCTCCAGGCCTGGCCACCCCTCAGGCTTCTCCCTTCACTGCAAATAGTAACACACTCCTGCCCCCACTTCCCAACCACCCACCTAGCCTTGATCTTGTGCAAGCTGCCTCCTGCCCCCGTGCACTGCGGAAACGCTCTCCCTACCAGCTCCAATCCCTGAATCTAATGGCCTTTGGGGCACATCAGTTTTGGCCCTTCTGCAGGTTCCGTCATCACTGGTGACACCTCCTGTTTGCAAACGCCCACTTCTCTGGCTGGCTTCCTTCCCTGTTTCCACTGCCTGCCTGAACGTGGTCTACTTTTGTTTCACAGACATTAAGTAAGGTCACACTTGCCAAGCGCAAGCCACATGCAGTCAGTGCTGGCTTCTGCCTCCTGCCCCTTCTGCCTGTGCTGGTCTCTCCTCTCCCCTCGAGGGGAGGCCTGTGCCCGATGCGGTTCTCCCTCCCCTCTGCTCTGCCTCTTAGGAGCTGTGAGGCCTTGGCAATGTACACAATGCCTCTGAGCCTCACTTTTTTTTACTTGTACAATGGGTATAAATACAGTGGTTTTCTCATGGAGTTATTACAAAAATTAAATGACATGATGTGTATAAGGTACTGAGCACAGCACTTAGCTCCTACAAAAGCTGGTAAATATGATCTGCTGTGATTGTGACTGCTGTGATTGTTATTCCAACAGACTCAGCTATCAATCTGCCTCTAACCCTGACCTTTCTCCTAAACCCAGGTGTCCCAGAGACTCCTCAAGCTCAACATGCCCAAAGTGCAGCTCTTCTCCCAGGCCTGTTTTTCCCTCTCCCAGCAAACCTCCTGCCTTCCTAGCCCAGGTAAAAAGGTGGGGACACCTGTGCCTCTGTTTCTCCACACCCAGGGCGCGGGGGTCAGAGAAGACTTCTTGGAGGGGCTGACTTGATAAGGGAGAGGGTGGAGAGGGAAGCAGAGCACTCTAGGCCTGGGCATCCCTGGCACCACACCCTGCAGCCCTTCCCACTCTTAGGCTTCTCGCAGGATTGCTCTCCTATGTCATGCAGAGGCATTCAATGGCAACGCAAGGCCCACTTAAGCCTCTCTCTTCCCTCCACCACTGTGGCCAGCAGTATTCCCAGAAAGCACACTCTGAAGCAAAAACAACACTGATGCGGAACAGAAGCCCCACCCAGTCAATGCACAGCAGAGATGTAGTGGGGAGAAGGAAAATGGTTGTGTGTCACGTCACACGCCTGTAATCCCCGCCTTCTGGGGGGCTGCGACAGGAGGATCACAAGTTCAAACCCAGCCTGGGCAACATAGCAACCTAGGGAGACCCTGTCTCCAAATAAAGAATAAAAAAGGGCTGGTGATGTAGCTCAGGGCAAAGGCCCCGGGTTCAATCCACAGTAGCACAAATCAAAACAAAACAGAAAAGCAAACTGTGGTTTTGAGCCTCTGGGATGTGAGGACTGATTGTTACTGCAGCACACCACAGCCTCTCCAGACTAGGGCATGACCCAGCACCCCATGCTCCGAGTGGGAAATGTCCAGAGGGAATTCCAGAGACAGGAAACTGCTGGAGGCTGCAGTGAGGGCACTAGGGGAGTGGGACGGGCGAGATGCCTGTCCCCCCGCTGTCCTGAGAGCTCCTGTGTAACTGCTCATGTTGAAGTCTCCAGAGGAACTTGCCCAAGGGGGTCCCCAGCCCAACCCAGGCACCTACAGTGCCTATCAGCAAACCCACCGTGCTGTGTGTCAACTGTTCAGTATCTGTCTTTCTGACTGTAAGCGCCAAAGGAGAGAGCTTACAGTGCTGCCTGCAATGTGCTAGCTGTCCAGTAATACTGCTGACTGAGTAAGCAAATGAATGAATGAATGAATGAAGGTGAGCCAAACGTACACCACACTTTCAGGCAGGAGAGGACAAGACCCAGACTGAGCCTCTGAGCCCCTGCTCAGAAGTTTGGCCTCCTTCCCGAAGACCAGCTGTCTTGGGTCCCTCCGGCTGCCCCCAGGATGGCCTTCGGGGACTTACCCACATAATAGGAAAGGGTACGCTTGAGCCGGTCAAAGACAAACCAGCGCTTCTTCCATGATTTGATCTTGCCACCCATCTTGACCAAGTAGCCGCGGCAGACCTGGTGGCAAGCAGGAACGAGAAAGGACCTAGATGAGCAGCCCCTCAAGCCCCATCCCTGCACAGCCGCCTCATGCATATGTCATCTCCTGTGCCCGGTTTCGCGGGGGCTGTTCCCAACATTTCAGGCCAGCACACCAGGGCCTAGGACAGAGACCTGGCTATATGATGCCACTATTCCAAGGCTGGTGCCTGGGACCACGAGGTCCCTCCCTAGCAACCCAGGCTATCCAGGCCTGGTACCTTGCTGCTGAGTACCACGTGCAGGCAGGTGTCCACGCCATGGCCTGACGACTCGATGTGGGTCTTCAAGTCAAAGTCCTCCTTCCGAATCGGCAGGTAGCGGGTCAGAGGCCGTGCCTGGGACAAAGGGCAGGGTCAGCAGAGTCTCCTCTCCTTCCCTATTATTCTCTCCCATCCCCTTGGCTTCACTTCAGAAGCCCCTGCCACCCGACATCACTCCCAAGTGCTGTGCTCAGTACTCTACACATCACCCCGCTCTGTGTCTCTGGTTTCATAGGGCTTATAGCCAAAGTGAAGACCTAGCACACTGCCTCTGCCCAGCCTCAGCCAAAACGCTGGATGACTCCTTGCCTCAGTTTTCCCACCTACAGCCGATACACAGCCCCTCTGGTCTTGCCCCTGCCCCTGCTCTCTGCTGTGCTGAATGGAATAAAGCAAAGGTCAGAGCTGAACATGCTCTAGGAAAAGAAGTCCAATAAGAAATGTGCTCTCCAGGGACAGGAGTGTGCTTAGTGGCAGGGCCTGTGCCTAGCATGTACAATGTCCTGGACTCCTTCCCCTGCACCAAAGGACAAAGGGAAGGAGGGAGAGATGGAGAGAGAAAGAAGGGAGAGAGGGAGATGAGAAATCCTGCTGACTACCCATGGGACGCTGTTTGGATCACATAACTCTCTGGCCCTCAGTTTCCTTATACATATGTAAAAGAAGGACTTTAAAGTCTACCCCACTTCCGATACTAACTAGAATTCTCAGGCAACCAGAGTATTTTCCTACTCCTCCTTTCCCATAAGAACCTTAAAATGGCAAGGAGAGAAAACAGACAACTGTGATGAACCCTAAAGAGGAGTTGACACCGCCTCATCCACACCAGACCCCGGCAATGCCTCAGTCCCAGGACCAGGAGAGGGGCTGGAAGAGGGACGCCTGACAGTCACAACAGAGGCAGGAAAAGAGAATGAGGCATCTGACAAAGATTCCAACCACAGAGGTGAATCTCAGAGTTCTTGATTGTTTAATTCCCAAGTCCAGACTAGGTATCCTGTCCCTTAGAATTGATGTTGCTGCACTGCAGAAAATGAGGGTGCTCCGCTGCCAGTCACTGGTGCGGGGAGATCCCAGAGGAGGCCAAGCCGGGGAAGCCTACGAAGACCCAACCATGGGGGACAGCTCATCTGAGTCCTGCAGGTCCTTGTGGGGACCCTTGCCCAGCCCCACTTCTGTTTCTACCTGTTTGCATCTCCTGTATGAGGGTTGATTTTGAGCAAAGGGGGAGGTCTCTGTCCAAGGAGAATCTACCACAGCCCCGCAGAGACAGGAACCAAAGGCAGAGCAGGGTCATGCGGTTTTTTTTTGTCTTTTTGAGACAGGGTCTCACTATGCAGTTCAGGCCGGCCTTAAGCTCACTTTGTAGCCCAGGCTGGTCCCGGACGGAGAGGACCGGAGCTGGAAGGCCCCGCCGGTGAGGGCCAGGACACCGCGGATGCCATGGGGCGAGGGGCAGCAGAGGAAGCCAGAGGGAGGGTGAAGCGCAGATGCACAAAGAGGAGGTGAGCCGCCCTGACTCCTGGCTCCCAGCCCCCATCCGAGGGAGGTCTGTCTGGACCCTCTCCTCTCACCCACCCCAAAGCCACACACACTGGCTGGACCGGCCCCACCACATCTGTTTCCTGGGGCTGAAGAGTCCCAGGTAGGGCCTGCCTGTGCAAAGCCAACAGCAGTCTCTTCTGCGGAGCAGCCTGGGGGCCCAGCCGAGGGGCCTGGGAGAGCCCTGCTCCTCCACAGCCTCCCCGTCAAGCCCGCCACTGCACACCCGCTCCCGCTCACCTGGGAAAACTGCTTCTCCCGCATCTTGACCTCCTTCTCCACCAGCTGCTGCCTCCGGGCACCCTCGCTCTGCAGCCGCCGTTCCACCTGCTCCCGCCTCCGCCGCTCCTCCTCCAGGGCCTGCCGCCGCAGCTCCATCTCGCGCTCCTGCCACCAAAGCCAGGCAGGAGTCAGGGCCGTGGCCACCATCAGCAGCCCCCGCCGGCCCTCCTCCGGCCAAGGCGAGCCGCAGGAGCTGCCTACCAGACGATGGCCTGGCAGAGGAAGCGCCGTCCCCAAAGCCACCCTCTCCAAGAGCTCTGCTGGCTCAGGACACGTGCTTTAAAGTGCGACTGGCCTGGCTTCAAACCCTGCCTGAGTCGCCACTGTGGGCTGTGACCCAGACAAAAATCATTTACATCCTCTAAGCCTCATTTGCCTCATCTGGAAAAGGGTTAAATGTGCCTACTCCTGAGATTATAGTGAAAATTAAACAAGATCCTATTTATAAATGCCCATCACTGATTCCAGCAGGAAAGCAGCACTTAATAAATATACAGGGCTCTTACAATTATAGCTGAATTCCTAGAATGTAAATTATTTAACTTTTTTTGAAAGCTAGTATATTCAGTAGTCCTCCCACGATCACCAATTTAAGGTCCATTGAAACTCCACATTAGTCACATCTGTTGGAGAAAAATAAGATTGGAGACCAAGGTTGCAGTTGAAATTATTACAAGAGGATTTTCAATTGGGCACGGTGGTGTATGCCTATAATTCCAGCATTCTGGGAGGCTGAGGCAGGAGGATCACAAATATGAACCAGAAGCTGGGCGTGGTGGTGTATGCCTATAATCCCAGCACTTGGGAGGCTGAGGCAGGAGGATCGTTGTGCATTCGAGACCAGCCTGGGCTACAAAGTGAGCTTAAGACCAGCCTGAACTGCATAGTGAGACCCTGTCTTAAAAAAAAAAAAAAAAAAAAAAAACCACCAAATTTGAACCTTACCTGGGCTACTTAGCAAGATCCTGTGACAGAATAAAAAAAGAGCTGGGGAACACCTCAGTGTGAAGGCCCTGGATTCAATCCCCAGCTCATAAAAAGGCGGGAGGGAATTTAACAATCATTAAAACAACTCATAAATATAGAGCAAATCAGTGATATATGTATATGTATATGCCTTAATGACAAAGACTCTATACCAATGAGGGCAAAATTTTTTTTTTTTTGAGACAGGGTCTCACTGTGTAGCTCAGGCTAGCTTTACACTCACTATATGGCCCAGGCTAGCCTTGAACTCACAGCGATCCTCCTGCCTCAGCCTCCCAAGTGCGGGAATTACAGGCGTGTGCCACCATGCCCGGTTTGATGGTAAATCTCTCAGTGCTTTCGATGATAAAAAACAGACCACTGTGGCACACGTGCCATAGGTTCGCCACCACTGCTCTATATCATCTGACATGTCTTCCCGGTTCAAAGTTAACAGAATCAATCTTCTTTCCCTCTATTTGCCAATAAATCTGCTCTACTTTGAGGTAAATAAGATTAAGAGGCACTCTTTTCTAGTTGGTCTTCCATCTAAATGGTCAATACTCCCCTTAAAAAAAACTCTAGCTGCGAACTGTACTCCATGAATTCCACTTTATCTAAACACATATGAAGAAAAAAAAAAAAAAAGCCAGGAACAGTCTTGTGCACCTGTAGCCCCACCTACTCAGGAGGCTGAGACAAGAGGGTCACTTGAGCCCTTTAGTTGGAGACTAGCTTGGGCAACATAGTGAGAAGCATCTCAGAGAGAAAGAAAAGTGCCTCAGTCAGGCTCTGCAGAGTGTTTGTTTAACTTCCCTCCCAGGCAGTTTTCCTCAGCCTATCTATGCCCAGTGTCGACCACTGGTCCCTCTTTGCCAAACCCCAGCAGCATGCCCAAGTTAAGGGGTCAGGATTTCCCACAGCCGCTTCCCAGCCAACACCTCTGCTCTGGCTTGGAGCCCTGCTTCCTCTTCCATCCTACACTTCAGCCCCTAGTTTTGCTTTCCTACCTATCCCCAAGAGGAATGACCTGCTATGTAGGGAAAGAGGACCAAAATTCTCATGGTTCCCAAAGTGTCCAAAGAGGCTCTGGGTGTGGTGGTGTGTGTCTGTAATCCCAGCACTCAGGAGGCTGAGGCAGGAGGATCGGCCCAAGTTTCAGAGCAGCCTGAACTACAAAGCGAGACCCTGTCTCAAAAAAACCAATAAAATATAAATAAATAACAAAAAACCAAAGTGTCCACAGAGGGATGTAGACAGATCAGGAGTACTTGTAAAGGAAATTCAAGCCTAGACCATGGTTCCTGAGCTGCCTTCTATTCCAGAAAGCGGAGAAGCTGCAGCCTGGCCCGGCCTCCCATAGCCTATTTAAGGAACACAGATTTTTCTCTTTCTTTTTTTTTTTCTTGGTTGTTTGAGACAGGGTCTCACTATGATATATATCTCACTAAGATATGTCAGATGGTATACAGCCATCTGACATATCTTCCCAGTTCAAAGTTAACAGACTCAATCTTCTTTCCCTCCGTTTGTCAAAAAATGCTTGTAAATTGCCTTGAACTCGCTGGGATTACAGGCCTGGCAACACAGACTTTTAACACACTTTCTCAGCCAGACACAGTGGTACACACCTGTATCCTCAGCACTCAGGAGGCTGAAACAGGATCACTGTAAGTTCAATACCAGCCTGGGCTACAGAGTGAGTTCCAGACCAGCCTGAACTAATAGTGACCCTGTCTCAAAAAAAGGGGCTGGGGATTTAGCTCAGAGGCACAGCACCTGCCTGGCAAGCGTGAGGTCGTGAGTTCGATTCCTGATACCAAAAAAAAAAAAAAAAAAAAAGAAATGTGAGTCCTACCTAAGTAACTTAGTGAGACACTATCTCAAAATAAAAAACAAAACAGGCTGAGATTATAGATCAGTGGGACGAGCCTAGTTTCAATCTCTAGTACTGCAAAATAACAATAAAAATAAAACGCTTTTACTCCAACACAAGGTCACGCCAATGCAATGCAGCTAGAAGGCACTGAGGTGGTGCCAGGCCCTTGGCGGGCGGAGGGCACTCGGGGTCCCATGCCTTCTGCCTCCTGGCAGGTCAGACTCACCCTGGACTCCATGAGCCGGCTCTTCTCCGCGTGAGCTTCCCTCAGCATCTTCTCCATCTCCTCAATCTTGCCCATGTCCAGGCCACTGGCACTGTCGAGGGAAGGGAAGAGGGCTGCATCAGGAGCCGGGGGTGCCCGCTGGAGGCCACGGGCTGGGCAGGGAGGTACCTGGACATGTTGTCAGGGGAGCAGGCTGAGTTGCCCCCAGTGGAGATGCTGGTCTCCATGCTGTCCGAGCTCTCCAGGCTCAGCGTGTCGTAGGCGTGCTCGCCTTCCTCTCCTCGTTCCCGGCCAGCCGGCAGGTGGTGCAGAATGGAGTGGTGCACCAGGGCGGGGAAGGGCGCTGCCCCGTGCAGGGCGTCCCACTGGCACTGCGCCTCGGCCGCCGCTCTCTGCTTCAGCTCAGCCAGCCGCCGCCGCTGCTCCTCAATCACCTGCTGCCCTGCAGAAGGAACAGGCTGGAGTCACAGGGGGCCCCCGCATCATCACAGAGGGAGGGAGGAGGCCAGCAGAAACAGGTGAACTCGCGCCGCTTCAGGCTGGCAGCCTCACCAAGGCTCCGGTCGCCTGCCCAACTGGCCATGGCGCATGGTCTGGCGCAGCGCTCTTTCTGCATTCTTAGGCCTAGAGGGCACCTGGCTCCAGCTCACAGTGGAAGCCCAAGCAGATGAGCAGGACGCATGCACCCACCTGCCTGCTGGCAAGGGAGGGGGAGACGGCAGCAGGAGCCCCACAAGCCCAGGGTGCCAACGCAGACACCCCCACGATGCAGAAGCGAGAGCAACGGGAGCAGGAAGGCAGGGAGACAGGGAACACAGCCGAGGGCAGCGGGGAGGTGAGCTGGAGGGGCAGGGCCAGCGGGCACCCCAGCCCGGCTCAGCCTGGGAACCTATGGAAGACCTGGGCAGGACACGTCATGCTGATGCTGGGGCAGGGTTGCCTGGCCAAAGCAATGCCCTCGGTGACCAACGCTCTACCTGCTGGGTCGTCAGTTGAGAGGGGCTCGGCAGGAAGCAACTCGACTGGCGTGGGGAGCCCCGGGCAGAGGGTATGGGAGAGAGACACAGAGGGGATAAGAGGAGAGAGAGGCATAGACATGGGCTTTCAAAACAACCAAAACACACCCAAGCAACGAGGACTGCTGGGTCCCCAGAGGCAAATCTCTGGGAGCTATTTCTCAAGTCATTAAATCCACTCCTCTGCCTCCAGGCAGGGCAAGGTCTAGCCCTGCTCAGGTCCACAAACACTTCCTATGCTGGCTGGCCTCTCTAGGAAGGAAAATGTCATAGCCCCCCAGACCCTGATCCCCCTGTTCCAAGTCTTTTGATAAATATCCAGGAAGCTCAGCTTTCAATATCCAGTCGAAATACTCGCTCCTCTCATCCAAATCCCAATTAAAAGAAAAACATCCTGTGAAAAGTGAGGGAGGCCCCCCAGTGTACCGGGGCACTGGCACCGCAGCCACTCACCCTTCTGCTGCAGGGCCAGCTGGCGCTTGGTCTCAATGTCCTGCAGCGTGGCTGCCAGGTTGCGAGGAAGGCTGCCTGTGCCGTTCTGGGCTAGCAGGGCACTCTGCAGAGGGAACGGAGTGGTGGGACCACAGCTGAGCCCACCCCGCCCCACCCCACAGCCTGCTGGGCAGCCCTGCCTCGCCCCGGGACCCCAGGACAGCGGCCTCCATTCCCCCACCACTCTCTGTCCTCAGACCTTTGGGGAGGGGCTGCGGCCCAGGGTAGCCACACTGAGCTGGGAGGAGGAGGAGGAGGAGCCGGACGAGGAGGGGAGGGGGCCGCTGCGGGTCCGGGGCAGCGGGCTTGTGGCTTCGCCATCCATCTTGGAGTGGTAAACCTGCAGGGAATACAGCCTGGTGACCTCTGGCTCTCCCACCAGCAGCCACCCCCGTGTCCCCTACTGTAGCACCAGGCCTCTGAGGCCTTCTGGCTCCAGCTGACAAGCGAGTTGTGCCTCCTGGGCTACCCAGCTGCTACTGCCAGCCGCTCAGTTTCCTCTGCAGCCCTTTCTCCCTAGCCCAATCCTGGCGCAACCCTGGATCTGAGAAGGACCTGCAAACTAACCCACACCAGTAGGTAAGAGCTCTGCAGGAGAACTAGCAGGGGCCAGGTTCCTTCTGGTCCCAGCTCTGCCACCAACAGGCTGTACAACCTTGGACCAAGCACCTCCCCACTCTGGCCTCAGCTGCCCTATGTGCCAAGGGAAGGGGCAGGACTAGACTAAACCCCTGCCACGCCCCCTCGCAGCGCTAACATACAGTGAATATGGTCTTTGGAGTCAAGAGCCCTGACTCTCCATATAAGCTCTGCTACTTCCTTCTCATAGTTACATGGCCCTGGCAAGACTTCTTATCTTGTCAACGCCCCAGTGTCTGATCTGTACAGTGAGAGTTAACATCTTCCACCTCAAAGCCCTGTGGTGATGATTAAATGAATCAAAACATGACAAAGTTTCCAGCCACTGGGCACACAGCAGAGGTACCACAAGTTATACGAATCAAACTCCCCCAAAGAGAACATGGAGTCATAGCTGAGGTCACAGCCTTACAGTGCAGCGCCTTCACTCAAAGAATGACTCTTGAATGGCTTAGGCACCACGGCAAGTCGGTGGAGACTTTCCAAGCACCTATCCCCCACCATGGTCAGTAGCTGGGCCCACACCCTCCACGACTATGCTCAGGACAGGGGTTATCCCCAGGGTTGTCACTTCAGGGTTTTTGTCTTCTTCTTTTCTGCCTCTGTGTATCACCATTGGGAAGACCAGGAGAACAAAATACTGGTGTTTCTCCTAGGACATAATAATTCCAGTTGTGACAGACTCAAGAGTGTGTCCAACCCTAACCTAGGTGAGAAGCTCTGGGGAGAACCGCTTCCACCATCACTCAACTTAGGCACCGGAGACCAGCCCTCCAGCTGCCCGCAGAGCCAGATGACTGCGCACGGAGAGATCCTTAGTGCCCTCTCAGGCCCAGAGGCCCCTCCTTGCTGTGCTGAGCAATTACCCACAGCATTCAGTATGACTGAGGGCTCGGCAGGAGGTACTCTGAGCAGACAGGAGCAAGACCTGGGAAGAACTGGCAAGGACGGGTTACCTGCAGCTGACGGGAAGCTTTGGCAGGCAGAGGTGGGGGGGAAGAGCGAGGGGAGGCTGCAGCAGGGCCAGTCCCCAGCCCGGCCATCAGCTCCTGGTACCACTGCTCTAAGTCTACAGCAGGGAGCAGCAGCTTCTCCATCTGGAGGGCAGGGAGAGGGCAAGGACGGAGAGGAAGGGCCAGGACAGGAAAGGGAAAGGGATAGGAGGAAGAGGAAGGAGGAAGGGGGGTCGAGGAAGGGGAAAGGAAGACCGTGTCAGGGACATGGGCAGGAGGGAAGGGGAAGAAGGGAAGGAAAGGAGGGAAGAAGGAGAGCAATAAAGAGAAGGAAGAGAAAAACAGTGAGATGACAGTTGTCCTGAATGTGATAAAGGCAAAGAGAAACAGTCAGGCGCAACTCCCAGAGCACAGACACGCGCTATGCCAGCCAGCCAGAGCCTGCAGGCACCCAGCATGGCCCTCGGGCTGGCCTGGAGCCGAGAGGCCTGTGAGCCAGGGCCGGACACACACGGACAGCCACACCAGCCATAGGGTGGGGATGGCAAGAACACACAGACCACCAACCTTGGGTGAAGGCGTGATGGAAGCGAAGGAGGAGGAGGAGGGCAGCACAGGAGGAAGGCAGGTGGTGGGAACCAGGTCCCGGGAGGCAGAGGCCCAGGGAGGCCAGCCTGGCGCGGGGGCTGGGGGCACGGGTGAGGTGCCCCACATCACCTTTAGCTGCTCAAGCGTCACGTACTTGGGGGAAGGCCGGGCGCAGGAGGGAATACAAGAGGTTAATGGGACTGGAACCCAAGACATAGCCCTGCCCACAAGGGAGGGGAAGAGTAGGAAGCAGAGAGTGGAGGCCAGCCTGGAGAGCCAGTGTCCTCTCGGCGCGATGCCTTTCTCCTAGAGCAGAAGACCTGCCCCGCCCCGAGCCGTGGTGAGCTGAGGACAGCTCCCCAAGCCTCAGGAGGAAAGGGAAGCACTCAACACTCCCTGCCAGCTGCCCTTCTCTCTTTCTCTCTCTCCCTCCCTCTCTCTCTCTCTCTCTAAGACTGACCCTGCTGCTGCCCCACCCCACCCAGGCTCAGTGGAGGGCATCCACGAGGAGGCCCTTGGCACAGGCAGGCACACTCAGCAGCTGGTACCTCACTTTCAGGCAGGGGCTGGGTGAGCGCGCTGGGGGAGGTGGCAGAAGCATAGGGGTCCAAGCAAGAGCACAGCTGGAGAACCTCTGCCAGGCTCACATACTCCTAGGGACCCCGGGGTAGCGGGGCAAAGAAGAGATTAATGAGGCTCAGCCTGGAACCCAACACCCCACACTCCATGCCAGGCACATGTCAGCACACAATCCCGAGCAGGGGTAGACGCTCGGCTGCCCTCTTGGCCACAGTCGGCAGTGGGAGCAGGGGGAACTGGAAAGGACGGACAGAACTGACTGCGGACAGCTCTTCCTGAGACCACTTTGGCATTTTATTGCTGCCCCAAGAGACCCTAAAGGCCCATCCCTGGACTGGCCTCGGGCTGGAGACAGGTGAAGAAGCCCAGGAAGGCTTTCTAAGAGCCCACTGAGGCACAGAACCCAGCTCCTCGCGAGCCCATCTCTCTTCAGCACCCAGGTATCCTCAGGGCACACACATGCGGCATGGATCACCAGTCACACCATTCCCCAGGGCCCCGCCACCCCATTCACAAGCGCAGGAGCTGGACACAGCTGGGGAGAGGTGGGGACACCACCAGGGCCTGAGCAAGGTAAGCGCTGAGGAACAGCCTTGACAGAGAGCAGCTAAAAGCCCCGGCAGGAAAATGGGCCCACTGGCACGGGTAAGCACTCGGGAAGATGCCGGCACACTTGACTGTGGGTGGGAAGACAGGGCCTGTCAAACCCATCTCACATCCTTGGAATCTGAGCCTATCTAGGTGCCGGGCATGGCAGGCATCCACAGTGTGTGCAGAATCAAAGCAGTGGACGCCAAGCCTGCCTTATCCAGGGCGCCCGTCCAGGCCTAGCTCCAGGGCAGGACTGGCCTCTGAGAGTCATGGGAAATGAAAATGAGCCAGGAGGTCCAGTGTGCTGTGAACGACATGCAGGAAGTGGTGAATGACATGCAGAATACACGCAAATCAACGCTCTGATTTGGCATGGGCTGCCCAGGCACCCTGTGGATGGCAAAATGGCACACTCACACACACAGCACCAAACGGTTATCACCACACACCCTTCAGCCGGGGCCTGGGAAGCTCTAGTCTGGAGCTCAGTGGGCAGGCAGATAGGCAGCCGGCAAAGCGAGCACACAGTTAGCTGCGATTACCTCTTGTACTTTGGGGCACAGCGGAGTAGAAGCAGGTGGGGTTAAGGAGACAGAGGACACCCCCGCCTGAGAAGACCCCGAGAACAGGCCCAGAGCCATGGTCCCCAGCCCCATCTCTGAGGACTCGGAGATGAAGAGCTGAGCCTACAGAGAGGGTACATGGTGAGGGACTCACCTCTCACACTCGGCCCAGCCACCCTCCCCTCGCCTGACCACTTGTGCAGTGACACCAGGAGGGAGGAAAGAGGTCAGGAAACCAAGTATGTCTAATCGGGCCTCAACGCCGGATGTGCAGACTTGGAAAAGAACCGCTTAGGGCTCACTGACCACTTCTGAACAGAGAGCCTGGCTGCAGGTGGAAGCCCCGAAAGCCCAAGATCAGGATCCCTAAGATCCTTGTGCTGCCCCTCAAGGTCAGTCCACCCAGCCCTGGCCCTACCAAACCTCAGAGCTGCCTGCCTACCCCGCCCAGGGCCCTTGAGCCCCTTGCATATATCCAGCCACCCCAAGTGGTGAGATCAGTGGGCTCCTAAGAGCCCAAAAAGCAACTGAGAAGCATCTGGTAGCCAAGGAGTTTTAAATCTCAGACCCCACGGCCATTCCTCCTCACATCTCTCCAGTTCAAGGCATCACCTCCACCCTCCACCTCGGCCACTGGGTGAAGGCGGCACGGGGCCTTGGGCCTGAAGCTGAGGCTGACCCAACTGTTACCTCTTTGAGGGTCGAGGTGGTCTTCGGGAACGGCCGGCCCCCTGTGAGTGAGTGGTATCTCCTTTCCAGCATGGTCAGCTTCTCCTTCTCCTGAAAGCCCATTGTGGTTGAGTCAGAGAGAAGTGGGACAAGGGTGTGAGAGAAAAAATTAAAAATTAAAAACAAAAAAAGGGTGAGGGAGAGTCCCTGTGATGTGTGATGTGTCCACACACTGGCAAACCTCCACCCGAGCCCTTCCACACGCCCTTCCCCTCCCCTCCCCGCAAGTCCCTGCGGACCCAGGTGGGTACCTTCTGCAGCAGCTGCAGGGAGGCGTTCTTCTCCCTGGCCAGACGCTCGGACTCCTGCACGGCCTGGGCCCGGATCTGCCCAGCCTGACTGTCCAGGACGGCCAGGCGCTCCTGAGGAGATTTGGGGGGTGGGTTTCGGTCAGGCCCTGGGGTTATGGGGCTGAGCCCCAGGTGAAACTTGGCTGACTCTCCTGCCCAGAGTTCCTGCGCTCCAGTGAAGGGACTCAACCAGCCCTTCCTGGCCTCAACTCGCCCAAGGAAAACTCAGAGTGCCCTCCCTGGTCTGCTCCTTCCCTTGCCGCTCCCTCCCTCAACCGTGACCCTGGGCCACCAGGAAAACTGGCCAGAACCCAGATCCTCAAAGCTCACTTTCTGCACTTCACGGCAAATGGGTTCCAAAGCCTGGAGACACAGAACAGCTCTCTGCCTGCCCTGTCCCCGCTGTCGCATCCAGGGCCCTGCTTTCCCAGCTGGGCTTCTCACTGCCCTTCTCTACTGCTCCCCGGCTTTCGGCTCCACTCCACAGTGCCCCAGAATATCTCCTTAAAATGGCTTTTGAGCTGTGTTTGCTTATCTGAATCATCTAGTCTTTCTAAGTATAATACACACTACTTAAGTGACTTGTTGCCTAAGCTGAACTTGAACTCCTGGGTTCAAGCAATTCTTCTGCTTCAGCCTACACAGAAGCCAGGGCTACAGATGTACACCAGTGTAACTGGCTCTGTGTGTGTGTGTGTGTGTGTGCGCGTGTGTGTGTGTGTGTCTGTGTTACCAGAGATTGAACCTAGGGCCTTCATACTGAGCTACATTCCCAACCTTTTTATTCATTTTTTGTTTTGTTTTGTTTTGTTTTTGAGACAGGGTCTCCCTATGTAGTCCAAGCTAGCCTCAAACTCTGGGTGATCCTCTTGCCTCAGCCTCCTGAGTGCTGGGATTACAGGAATAGGTGGCTCCTCATTACACACAGGATAAAGCACAAACTCCCTACCCAGCATGCAAGGGCTCCAGGAACTGGTTCTACCCTTTGGCTGCTCAGCCCTCCACACTCCCTGGGCTCGGCCATGCCGTAACCCAGCTGTGCAGCTGTGCACTTTCAATCTCCCTTCTGTCTCTCCCTCAGCCCAGGGGTGCTGGCCCAGGGTTCTGCACCCATCCTGAGCCTGTCAGCCTCCAAGCCCAGACCGAATGCTACCTCCTTCCCAAAGCCATCTTTGCCTGTCACTCAATTTCTTTGTTCCTTCCTCTGTGCTCACATTATTCTATACCGCCACATCCCTTGTCTTATTGTTATTCTTCAACATATCTGTCTACCACCACAATCACCTCATCCTGAATATAAAATCTGAGGGCAGGATTATCACAGCGCCTGGCTCGACAGTCATACACTAAGAGGAAACAGAGATACTAAGTGAGGGGGAAGGGTAAACACTAGCAAAAGTGGGCGGGGTTAATCCCAGGCAGGCTTCCAGAAAGAGGTGGTCTAAACACCCCTCTATGGAAGGACCCCTGGGAGAAGAATGCATGAAGAAAGAAGCTGTGCTAAGCCTGGAGTCAGCCCTAGGAAAAGCAGCAGGTTAGGCAGTAACCCTCACAGGAAGAGCCAGCACTTCCATAAACCCAGTAGGAGCTAGAAACTCTGCTAGATGTTTTATATTTGTTATTTCATTTAATTTGATGAGGCAGGTGCCTGTAGTGCCCATTTTACAAATGAGAATACTGAACTTAGCTCATACATTTAGGAGCTAAGGTCTCAGCTAGCGAGTGGCAGAGCTAGGACTAGAACCTAGGGTTAGGTTGGATTCCAGGGCTAATCCTCCCACTTTGAACCACTCTGAACTAGAGTGGACAGAGGATCACAGGGTGCTAGGGTAGACAGAGCCTGGTGCAGGGTGAACCTGGGCACAGGGAAGTGCATGAGGACGAATGTGACCCCCCCCTTCCCAGATCTCAGTGCTGAGCTTGTTTCCTAGAGGTCTGAGTGGGCATGGAGAGGAAAGAAGTAGAGTCCATGCTATGACCCCTCCCAAACTGCCTGGAGCTTACAGCCTCCAGGACCTCAGAGAGACAGGCATAGGTGATCTAAAGGCTCCCTGCTGCTATCCCCCAGAGGGAAAGCAGAAGAGGCCAGAGAAATGCTAGCTTCTATACCCTACATAGCACAGTGGAAGGATCATGGGCTTTGGGCGCAGGCACGCCTGGGTTCCAACTCTCACTCTAAGCTTATAGCCTGGGAGGCTTCGGGTAAACGTGTAGCTTCTCTGAGCCCTAGTTTCTCTCCCTATAAGATGGGGGCTGGGGTTTTAGCTCAGCAGTAAAGTGCCTGCCTGGCAAGCGCAAGGTCGTGAGTTCGATTCCTGGTATTGGAAGTAAAAACCAAAAAAAAAAAAAAAAGATGGGGATAAGAGTACCTGCCTTGTGAAGCCCCCCTAAGGATATACGATGACCCAAAGAGCCTCCTGATAGGGAGCCTAGCACACTCACGTGCTTGGGAATCTGAAACATGTATGCATTTGTAAAGCACAGTAGCTCAGAGACAAGCAAGGGAACTGGACATGGGAGGTCCAGCAGCTCCTCACTTACCACCAAACCCAGGTGGCCAGCAAGCCCCTCGATTCACCACTTTGGGACACTGCTCCCCCAATCTCATTGTCCTCACCTTATATACACTTCAGACAGGCAAACTGCACACACACACAGATGTAGGAGCTCATGCCTCAGCCACCGGCAGGTGAGCCTCCTGGGCCACCCTCCCCTGACATACACACACCTGTCCCACCAACCGGCTGTGCCTGGTCTGATTGAGATCAGACACAGTCATTAACACACCAAAGCCTGCCAGGACACAATACTGAATCCTCTTGTTCAGAGCTCAGCCATGCCAGGGCGAACTGAGCCTGGAGCCCAGGTGGATGCCGTTCCTCAAACCCCCAGCCAGTGCTAATGTTCAGATCCTAGGTCCCTGTATGAATCCCAGCACTTCTATCAGACAGAGCTCTGTAGAGACAGGGGCATGACTGGGGGTGTAGCTCAGTGGTAGAGCACGCACTTAGCAAGCAGGAGGCACTGGATTCAATCCCCACCACCACCCCGACACACACAGGCAGAGGAAAGCCAGGTCCTCTTCCATTTTTCACTTCCTGCCAAGCCAATGCCCGGCTCTGAAAGTGAACCAACTCCACTTCCACTGGAAAACTGAGAGGACTCGGGTACAAATACTAGCAACACTTTAGGGTTAGGGACAGGGTACCACAATCGGAGGACCAAGGAAGGGCATCTACCTTGGCTCCAGCCTTGGTTCAGCTCTGGCGTGGCTGAGCTATAAACAAGAGGACTGAGGATGGTATCCAGGCAGCGAACCTGTGCTGCGCGTTTTCTGTCATCACACATTCCATCCTGCCTTACATGCTAATTCTCACGGCCGCCGGCTGTAGTTCTGATTTTACAGACTAGGAAACAAAGGCACAAAAATGTGGTAATCCTAGCACTCAGGAGTTGAGGCAGGAGGATCGCAGCAAGTTCAAGACCCGCCTGGGCTACACAGTGAGTTCAAGGTCAGCCTGAACCGCACAGAGACCCTGTCTCAAAAAGCAAAGTGAAGTTAACTTTCACAAAGTCAGCTCTGGAGCCCGGGGCAGGCGCGGTTGCCCACCTTCCTCTTGGCCACGCTGCGCAGCAGCTCTGCCTTACTCCGCAGCAGCCCCTGGCCCGCCAGCTCGCGCTCCTCCTCCGCGCGGCTCTCCCGCTCCAGCTGCTGGAACTCCAAGTCTTCGAAGAGCTTTGTCTCGGTCTCCAGGGCCTCTGCTTCCTTCAACGACAGTGACATGGCGGGGTTGGGTGATGCTCAGCCTGCCACTCTGGGCCCGGAAGGCCAGGCCACAGAGACGCAAGTGGTGGGCGAGTGGTGGGGGCTCGACCCGGGCGATCTGGGCAGGGAACCTGTCCCCTCCCGACTCCCTCTGCTCTGCTCCACTGCGCCCCTTCGCCATCGGGGCCTGGAGCGCTGGATCCCCCCAACCTCGCCTGTCCCCTCCGGGCCTCAGCACCGACCCTGGTCTCCGGCAGGCACTGCAGGGGCCGGGCGGTCCCGTCCCACCGCTCTCCTCTCCTCGGTCTGGGTGGGTGGCCCGCGGGGGCCGGGGGAGGGGCTGGAACTGACCCTTCTCAGCTGCTCCTGTAACTGTTCCCGCACTGACTCGGGGCAGTTATCGAGCTGCGTCTGGAGCTCGGCGTACAGCGCCTGGCGGGCCTCCAGGTGCCTCCGTCCCGCGGCCAGCTCCGCCCTCTCCTGGTCGGCGGGAGGGGAGGGAGGCGGGGCACAGGGGAGAGAGAACACACACTCCTCAACTCCGGCCCGCGGGCGGCGGGGCGCGGCGCGGGGACGGGACGGGCCAGGCGTGGAGAGCAGCGAGAAGAGAGCGAGAAGGAAGGGGCCGGCGGGGAGAGAGGCCAGGCGCAGAGGGGTAAGGCAGGTGCGGGGACCTGTCACACAGGCGGGCGTGGGGCGCGGGGGAAAGGGGGGTAAAATTGTGGTCTCTTGTGTCCCTAGAACTAGAAACGTTTGGGAAGGTCCTCATACACGGCCTTCCGTTTCCTCTCCATACTCGTGGAGGCCGAAGCTGACGCCCCCGGGGCAGAAATGGTGCCTCAGGGTCTACCACTGTCCAGAGACCAAAATTTAACCCCGGGGGGTGGGGGAGGCAGGACCTGATGGTAAGGTGTTAAGTCCACAGGTTGGGTGTGAATGTTAGAGCTACAGCGGTGGTGCAGCAGCGGAGGAGGGGGACCCCAGCCCGACCCCCTCCCACCCCTCCTGCCCAGATTGCGGGTGGGGTGCGGGCGCTGCAGGCTGAACTCGAGTAGGGATGAGGGTTGCAATTAGTTGGCCGTTGCCGTGGTAATGGGAGCCCCAGGAGTGGGTACAGAGAGGAGGTGGGTGGCTCTGTCTGGGGGAGATGACACCTCTGAGGGTGGGAAAGGGGAAGAGGGTGGAGTTGGTGAGTCACCCCCCCCAAGGACAGGCAGAGGAGAAACCACCATTACTGATTCCAAAGCCAGAGTGCAGCCATGGCTGGGGGCTGGGACAGGAAGCCCAGTGAACCACCATCGTCACTACCACCGGTTACCAGCACCACCTTCACCTCTACAACCTCAGACTGAGCCCAGAGGAAAGACGAGGCCCAGGCCTCCAAGCATTCCCAAGTCGGTGCAAGTGAGGAAGGCAGGTTCCTTGTGAAATGCTGAGCTTTACCCCCGGGAGCAAGCCCCTGTGCTGTACCTGCCCCACTCCCCCGCCCCTGCCCTCCACCCACGGGCCCATCCCCAGAGGGAAGGCCCTGATCCAGCCAGTTGCTGGCGGCCAGGCACTTTCCCATCCTTGTTGTCCGTGGCCTCCAGGGTGGCTAGAGGGATGGAAAGCCACTGCTCTCCCCTCTGCGTGGGGTAGCTGAAAGGGAAAGCTAGGATGGGGTAGCCACTAAGTTGGCAGAGAGGCACTGTTCAAGAACTCCAAGGCCATGCCAGAAACTGGACCTCCTTATTCGGCAGTTCCGGAAGGTAGGCAGGGGGAGGGGGCGACATAACCTGCCTGTCCCTGCCCTGTAGGAAGCTGCCAGCTATGCGGCAGGCAACAGCCCAGGCCCTTCCAGGGGGTGAAGCTGTTCAGGCTGAGCAGCTCTTCTGCCTACCATTTCCCTCATCCTCATTCCCCTCCTACCAGTCAGTGCCCCGTTAGACAAAATTTAGCTGTGCCCTCCTGCCAGTTCCTTTCTGATCAAAACCATGGGGTCCCACACCAAGAAAAGAAGGAGGCAACATTAGAAGGGAGAGGCCAGGGGCACGAAGGCACTGTGGAGTTAGTGCAAAAGCAGGCATGGCTCAGCCCTGCCTGAGGGGCCTGGCAGTTAGGGCATGCGGAGCGCCCAGGACAGTGATTAGAGGGGGGCGTTAGTGCAGGCCTGGTTGACAAGCATGGAGTTAATTTGGCACAGAATTTGGGAGTGTGGTTTTGGGGGCCAGAGCCGAAGCTCCAAAATCAAAAACGAAAAAAACCAGGATCAAAAAGGTTTTAAGATCATCAAAATTGAGGGCAAAAGGAAGACGATCTCAAAAATTCCAACAGGAAAATTAAATTCTTGGAAAAATACTGTCAAATCCAGTATAGATGGCCCCTCTCCACTTCAGAGCTTTTGGCACGCCGTTGGGCATCTTGGGCATGGCTGGCACGGCCCCTTGGGACGGAGCAGCCCCTGCAGGCTGGCGCGAAATCTGAAAGGGGCAGGGGCAGGAGCTGGGACCACCTGGGATGGGAGGCTGCAGATCCTGAAGACGGGGAAGCAGAGGCCTGCAGGCCATCTTCCAAAGACCACATCGTAAGCACCTGAGGCATGCTTGAGGGAGATGCTCTTCAGAGGACAGGACCCAAACCCGAATCACTCCAGGCACTGAGCCCCCAGGCAGTGCGCACTGCCCGAGAAGGGGTTTTGGCACTTCCTAGAAGGACCACGAAGGCCAGAATGGCAGGCACCCAGGCATCCAGAGGTAGCAGAGACCCAGAGAAGACCCCGAACACCAGCCCAGCCCCTAGCAGCACCTTCCAAGCTGATACCTTCCACAGAGGACAAGGTTCCCTGCCCCTGGAGGGTCACAGGGACTACCTGGTACACAGGACGGATGGTGAGGTGTGGGACCCAGAGCCCCAAGAAAAGCATTTCTCCTCTCGTGGGCCAGTGGTACCCAGCACTGGGCTGGGCCAGGTGTGGGTTACCTTGTCCCTCTCCTTCTGGATGCCCGTCTCCAAGGCCACCAGCTTCTCCTGCAGCTGGTCCACTGCCTTCTGCTCCTTCTGCAGCAGTGCCCGCTCTGCCTCCCTCTCCCCCTGCAGCAGCGCCCGCTCCATTTCAGCCTGGGGGCAGACCAAGGTCACCATCAAGACAGTGAACTCAGGTCCCCATCTGGGGCTCGCACCCTCAAAGCCCGCTCACCTCTCTGGCTGCCTCTTGCAGCTGCTGCTCCAGCTCCTTCACATGGACCTTGAGCTGCTCCACATGGCCCAGCACCTGAGCCCGCTCCTCTTCCAGGGCTAGGATCTCTCCCTGGAGCTTGGTGCTAGGCGCATCTTCATGCTGGAAGGGGAAGGAGCCATCAGTGGGGATGCTTAGGGCCTCCCAAGATCAGACTAAGAGATCAAACTGCCCATTCCTCAAGGCACTTGGAAGAGGTAGCGGGACTGAGACAGGAGGCTAATCCCCTCCCTGTCAGGGAAGCAATAAAGGATCAGCCACAGGGAATAAAGATGTACCTGAGTTCCAGGCCTGGGTGGAGCTCCAGGAAAGGCAGGTCATAAAGCATATTTACAGCCTAGGAAAGTCCTTGCCACCTCCCTTCTCTTACCTCATTTCTGCACCTCTAGTTTCTGGTGTCTCCCCCAGCTTGAGCCTTCCATTACTTGCCCCTCCAGTGCCCTGGCATTCACACCAGCCTCGGTGCCCCAGTATGCCCGGCCAGCCCCAGCCCCGCCCCTCCTGCTCCCCCAGGCCACCCACCTCCTGCTGGGTGCTCTCTGTGCTGCTGCACTCCTCCTTGAGATTTTCCTCGTCTGAGCGCTCCACACTCTCCCACAGGCGCTGGGTGGCACCTCCAGGCTCCTCGCCGCCCCGCCCAGAGGACACAATGGCCCCTGCAAGTCCTCGCGAGGGCCTCCTGCTCGCCAGTGCCAATGCGGCAGTGGCCTCTCCGATGCTGGGCAGCTCCCCGGCCTCAGGGCCCCCATCAGCCCGGCTATACTCAGCACACAGGTTCAGGATGGTCTCCAGACGCTGGCGCTCCTGGGGAGGGTGGACAGCAAGGCATGAGTGGGAGAAGGCCCAGTCCTGGGGTAGCTAGAGCCAGGCTAGCTCCAGTTGGGAGAACTAGGACACTAGGGGCTTGAGGTTCTGAATCAAGTCAGGAGAACCCCGACCCCAAGTTCTATGGGAGACGGACGGAAGAAGGGCGCTCCAGATGTGGTGGAGGAACTGGGCTGTGGCCACCTGCGCAGGCAGCCAGCCCCTCCCACCTTCCTGTTTCCTTCTCATTCCGTCCCAGGATGGGGCTTCCTTGTGGTCACACAAGGACACACCCAAACACACACGGAACACACACAGGTAGGCAGACTGAAGAACGTGAAGAGGCAAAGATCAGCTCGGGAGCTCGTACTGACAGGGACACGGATCTGCAGGCACAAGGGCACACTGGGTGACACACAGGTACATGTGGACCCAACATGTGCACTGGCCCTGCAGTAACAGGCAAGCACACACACAGGCACCAGCCCTGACATGCACAAATGCACGCTCACACAGATAAACACAGTCTACATGCAGCCGAGCGGGCCCCTACCGCGTCAGACAGGGCTGGGAAGCAGACCCACGAACCCATAGGGCCCAGACACACAGACCAGGAGCAGGCATGGGCCGGGGTGCTCCTGGTCTCCCCTCAGCTCCAAGTCTCCCACAGGCCGCTCCTGGCTCCTTCCCAGCCAGGGGGGCTGCAGCCAGTCCTCAAAGGCCCAGGCCCAGGTGTGAGTGCGCCAGGGCCCCGGCACTGAATCCACACACCCCCACCCAGAAACAGTCGCCCCCCCAGGGGCCTAGGAGTGACGGACCAAGGGCACAGTCCTGCTCCTGGTTTGCGTGCCATACTCCCATTCATAACACCCCAGCTCTGAGTCCCAGCCTCAACCCCCACGACCTCCTGGGGGTCCCTCATCCCCCTCGAGTGTCTCTCACTACCTATAGCTTGGCTATGACTCCCCAGTCCCAACACTTACCCAGCTTCCCTCTTGCTGCTCACCCAGTTCCATAGTGAAAACTCCAGGAACCAAGCCTCAGCACCCAGGAGGCTGGACCAGGGCCCGCCCCCGCCCTAGGACCCAGATAAGCAGCCTGGTTCAGGTGGGAGGGGCAGGGCAGGCAGCCTCCAAGATTTAAAGTGGCAGGAGAGGCAGGTCAGGACTGGTGGTAGGTGTGCGCCTGTGTGTGGGCATGGGGGCAGGGAGCCTGAATGGAGGAGCTGGGGACCGCTGGGCCCAGAAAGGACTGGGGACCTGCCTCCCAGCCAACACGAGCACATGGTCCCACACCCTCACCCAAACTGGCCAGCCTCTCCCCAAAGGTCTCCAGGCAAGCCTCCTCCTCGAACCAATCCCAGCTTGCTGGACCCCAGAACCCTGGGTTTCTGCTCTCACAGGAGACAGCAAAATCCTCCTTCCTGGGCATGGCTCACGGGTGGATACACCAGCCAGAGCCCCTTGAGATCCCACACTATCTGGGGAATCCCAGCCCCCACCTAGCACAGATGGCATCTCCAGGACAGCTGCCCTGAGCCACACCCCACCCCTGCATGCACCCACACGCATGCATGCAGATACACATGGTCACAACCACACAGGCTACCCAGGGGCTGCTCACTCTGTTCCTTACCTCTCCTCTGCCACCCACACTCCCAGATGACCCCGCCTAGACCGAGGTGGACAGTTCCTACCCACTGTAAGGCCAAAGACAAGGAAGAAACAAGGACCAGCAGCTTTTCTCAAGAACAAGTCTCAGGCCAGATGTGGCAGAGCACGCCTGTAATCCCAGCACTCAGGAGGCTGAGGCAGGAGGATCGCCAGGAGTTCAAGGTCAACCTAGGCTACATAATAAGTTCAAAGCCAGTCTGAACTACATAGCGAGACCTTGTCTCAAAAATATAGTAAAATAAAATAAAGCCTGAGAGAAGTGACAGTCTTGCAGGGGACCAGGACCATGCGACACTGGTCACTAAGGTACATCCTGAAAGTGGAGACGCTTGAGGGGCCAGGCCCTGTCCAACAGCCCCTCCCACTCTGCCAGCTGGCCTGCCCACGCCCTGGCACAGACCCTGCCTTGGACAGCCGCAGCCTCCCTGGCATCTGCTCACCAGCCTCTCCATCTCCTGCTCCCGGAGCCGTTCTTGGCGCTGCCGCCGGTGGTACTCCAGGAGGTCATCCTCATTGTCACTGATCTCTGTGATGCTATTTTTCCGATCCCGCATGACAGGAACCCGCAAATCCCCACTGGAGAGCTTCCTCTGGGCCCGGGGGCTCTGGCGAGGCGAAGCCCCAGTAAGAGAGCCCAGACTGTAGGCTGGGCTCAGCCGGCCACTGAAGCTGCCCTTGCGGGGTGCCAGGGACTCCCCCAGTGTGGGTGAGGGACTCCGTGTCCTGCGGCCCCGCGCCCCCAGCGTCAGGGAGAAGTCCTCTGGAGAAGTCCCGTGGGCAGCCCAGCGGCGGGGCCTCGGGCTCTCTGCCACTTCCCTGCTTAGTTTGGGATCTGGGGTGGTCCGGGCAGGCAGTGGGGAGAGAGCCCGTCGTGACAGAGATGGGCTCAAGGGAGGGAGCTCTCGCATGCTGTCCAGGCCCCGCCGGCCCAGGCGGGGGCTCTCAGGAGGCTGCAGGGTTCGGGTGGAAGACCCATCCGAAAATGTTCGGCCTACCAGCTGGCGCGAGGGGCTGGTTGTCAGCACCCGCTCGGCCCCCGGAGGCTCGTGGAAAGGGCTGGGAGGGCGGTCCTGGAGTGTGCCGATTTTGTTGCGGGGAGCAGGGACTGGAGGCTGGAACTTGGGGCTGCCAGGAATGCTGGTGGGTTGGCTGCGGGCCCCGGAAGCTGGGTATTCACTCAGGCTAATAGCCACTACAGGCAGCTGCCCACCCAGCCGGGGGCTCTCAGTGGCCCTGCGAGCCTCTGCCAAGACGGTGGCTGCAGGGCTGTCAGTCAGCAGGCCCCGGAGACCAGGGCTGGGAGGCCTCTCATGACCCCCTTTCCTGCCCAGCCGGGGGCTGTCCGAGGAGCGGGCACCACTGGGACGGGACTGTGGGGGCTGCAGGGCTAGGTGGTAGCTGGAAGAACGAGCAGGCACAAGCGGGGGCACCGAAGGTCCTGGCTCCTGCCCGCTGGGTGAGTGGCTGGCACCGCTTCCACTGCTGGCTGGTGAGGACAGCGGCGAGAAGGCTGGAGAGGTGTTCTCGTAGCTGGAGCCCACAGACATGGCGCCGGGGCTGGTTGGCGGGGAGAGCAGGTAACGGCCGTTGGCCATCGGCGACAGTGGGGAGGTTGCAGCAGGCTTCTTGCCAGCAGCTACAGGCTCCTCTAGCACCAGTGAATCCATGATTTCTTGTAAGTCCTTCTCAATTGAGCTCACCAGGGAGCTGTGGCTGGCACAGGCCGAGGGTCCCCGGGTGGCAGGCTGTGGGGTGTGGTTCCCATTCACCAGACTTTCCGATTCGGCTGAGGGGAAAGCAGAGAGGCTTCAGACCCTGGCCTGCGACTCTAGGGAGTCATGTGTGCACACGATTGAGGGCAGCCCACCTCTCCCTAGCACAGCGGGGCTGCAAAGGCACTGGCGAAGCTAGGCCATCTCTCACTGACCTGCTCTGCAACTCTAGTCAAGTCACTTGCCCTTAGTTTCCCCTCATAGAAGGTGATGGGCAGGACCCTCCTGGCTCTAACATTTAATGGCTTAGGACGAAGTTAACAACAACAGCAGAACTTCTAAGCCCAGCTGTTACCGCCTCACCTCAAGACTAGACTCCCTGCCTTGGTTTCCCAACTTCCTATGCCTTTCTTTCAGGAAGGGCAGGTGGGCATTCTGCAAAGGAGATGGGAACCTACTGTGGAACTGGCCAGAAGTACCAGAGCCTCCTATTCTAACAGGACATCAGGGCCTCCAACTCAGCAGCCAGAGGCCCAGGGAAAAAAACAAAGCCTGCAGGGCCAGGCCCGGGGTGTGCGCGGCACAATCCCGTCCAATCAGAGGCGGGGGAGGGATCCGGTGCTAATGGCTGGTTCCTGGAAGCGGAGCTGGCCAGCCCTGAGGTGCAGCTCAGTGCCTCCAATTATCTCTGCAAGCCACGCCAGCAAGAGCCTGCCTTTACGGGGCCCCAGCCCTTCCCAACCAACCAGGAGTCTGGAATCCCTGGAACCGCTGTCCCCAGCAGCTAAGGGAGTGGCATGGCAAGGCTGGGGTAGGGACAGGGTAAAATTAACTAGGGAGTGGACTGAGACTCAGGCTTCCCAGCCTCCAGGGACTGTGAGATACTGGGGTTGGAGAAGACAGGGGAGCCTTTGGAAGACTGACTCGGTCCACAGTTCTGAGGACTGTCCAGCCACAGGACTGCGGTGAATACTGGTGGTTCCAGTGACCGCTCACTCTTCTTCAGACCCCCCGACTGTTAGTACCAGGTGTACTAGCATGTGTCCACCTGCTCCAGCGCCACACTGGCACCTTGTACGCCACAGCCATCTGAATGCCAGGGCTCGGTCCAGGCTGACAGCCTCCTGGTCTGCACCCCACACCCCAGACAGCTGGCTGGAGGGGAGGGGCTGTGTTGGTTGCTAGAACAATCACCAATTCTCTAGGGATCAATAATTCACACACAAGCTGCAGCTGTCCCTCTGAGTCATCAGCAAGCATGGCATGGTCTGAGGGCCAGGCAGGGCCCAAGGACAGGATCACCAGCAGGTGGCACCCATCAGAGTTTACTGGGGTTCAACCGAAGTTTCAGGCCACCCTTCAGAATGAGGCTCACCGTGGTGACATAAGAAGGCCAAATACAGTGACATCTTTGGTGCAGTAGGGTTCAGGCTGGCGGAGCCTTCTCTCCCTCGAGGCACCTGATTCTCTAATTTCAGCCAAGGAGCACCGCCTTGTATCTCTCTCAATGGCCTCATGGCCGAGCATTTGCCACGGGCCCATGGCAGGTGGCAGTGAGCCCAGACCATGGGTCTTCTTTTGTTTTGTTTTGTTTTTTGTTTTTCTCTGGTACCGGGAATCGAACTCACAACCTTGCGCTTGCCAGGCAGGCGCTGTGCTGCTGAGCTAAATCCCCAGCCCTATGGGTCTTATTCTGCCCTTACACTCCAACAGTGGCCACTGTGGGCAAGAACTATCCAACGGGCAACACCGACCCATCCCCTGCCTCACCTGGGTACCTACCAGAGCCAGGGCCGTAGGGGGGCCCCGCGGCCCGGCTCCCCGCTGGAATCATGCTTTTCATCCACTTGGCTTCAGCCGGATGGTTAAAGCGGAGAAAGGTGGACTGACCCAGGCACAACATGCAGCCTGCAGAGAAAGCAAACACTTGCAAGGGGCAGCCAGGGCTCAAGCCACCCCAGCCCACAGCACCGATGAGCCATTCCCCATGGCACTCACTGCCCACCCAGTGCACACCTGTCCCTGCCTGTCCCTGAGATGGGGCCCCTCCTGGCTCCAAAGCCAGGGCAGAGAGGAGAGAGCACTGGTGGGAATCCTCCAACTCTTCTTAGTACACGTGTGATCTTCAAGTGAAGTCACTTCACCTCTGAGTCTGGTTCTCTCATTGGAAAATTGAAATGATACCACTGACTGTGCAAGGTTAATGTGTATGTGAAAGTACTCCGTCAGTGCAGAAAGTTCTTCACTCACGGCCCCCCGGCCCCAACCTGTATCCATGATCCATCTAGTTTTCCCTTGGGTAGAAGGGTTAGTTTGAGAGGCAGCAGCTTCTGGGGTCACACACACAAAAATCTCTTGAGAAGCGAGATGTGGTAAGACACACCTATAATCCCAGCTACTCGAAGAGACTGTGGCAGGAGAATCACCATGAGTTCAAAGCCAACCTGAACAATTTAGTGAGACCCTGTTTAAAAAGGGCTGGAGACAGCTTAGTTACAGCACTTGGGATTCAATCACTGGTACTGAAAATAAAATAAAATAAAATAGTAAAAAACTCTTAAGACACAAGGCAAAAACATAGATTCACGAGATGCCCTAGTGGGGCTCAGAATTTTTGTTTGTTTTGTTTTGTTCCATTTTTTGAGCCAGGGTCTCACTATATAGTTGAGACTGGTCTTGAACTCACTGTGTAACCTAGGCTGGCCCCAAACTCTCAGTAATCTTCCTGCCTCAGCCTTCCAAGTACTGGGATTACAGGCATGCACCACCACACCCACCCCCCTGACTCCTCCTTGTTGCAAGGTTTTAGGACTGCTGCCACCCTCTCTGAGAATACAGGGAGCAACCATCATCCTCTTTCTTTCCTTCTGGAAAAGCACCCTTGGGGTGCTCCATGGTCTCCCCTCAAATCTACCCAATCTGAGGACACTGGGCTGAGCTTCAGTCAAGCACACTCCCAGGCAAGAGCCACAAGCCCAGTCCTGCCCGGAGAGTGAGTGCATGGAAGGAGGGTGGTGAGTGGGAGCCAGAAAACATAGCCAGGGGCTCAGGAGTGTGCACACGGCAGGTGTGCCCACAGGCTCCTAATCCAGGCTGGCAGAATTCCGCCTCCCGGCTACACCAGGTGCTGGAGGGAGCCGGCTAAACTGGGAGAGGCCAACGCCCCGGTGCTCTCTACCACCTACCCTTGCAGTTTGTCCACACCACTGGCCCCAGCCTCCTGTCTTCCCAATCTGGTGCCACTTGGCGCCCCAAGCTTCATGCCATTCTGAGCTAAGACTGGCAGGGAAGTCTACATTCCTGGACGCTGAGACAGTTTAGCTTGGGCAGGCCGCAAGGGCATGGGGCATCCCAGGCCTCATGGGTACTCTGGCAGGCCCCCTACTGAGAAGCTCAGGAGTCTGCTCCTAGGACCCTGGGCATTGCCACTGGGTGGGGGGTTAGGGGCAGCAGGCTGAGAAGCCTGTCACGGAGAACCATAGTAGACAAAACCATCCACTACGCTGGCACACCCACAGGCCCGCCCGGCAGGCAGCACCAACAGTTCTAAAGACTGATGGGTGGTTGCAAAAGGGGGCCCAACCCACCAATCAGAGGAGCTGATCCCAGAGAAATCATAACTGGAATAAATAATAGTCAACCACGCCGTCCACCTAATTACAACCACAGCTGTTTCAAGAAGGGCACTGCCAGCCCCACTCCTTCCTTTCAGCCATTTAACACGCTAATTAATGATGAGTTTGCAAGGTCTAGACAGACCCACTCAATCCAGGCTGAGGGGAACGGGGAGGAGCTGGCGGGTGGGCAACCTGACCACAAAAAACCAGGCTGGGAAAGAGGTTGGGGGTCTGGTGGAATGCAGCCCAGAGTGCCAGACCCACCTACGGAGGCTGTGGGCATCTAGGACCCTCCACCCTGGCCACTATAGCCGTGGGGTCCCTGCCCCCACTCTCTCCCACGCAGGGGGTGTGGCCACGCTGCCTGTCAGCTATAAATAGTGATGCCAGGCAGCAGAGCAGTAGCTGTATTAATAGAGCGGGCTGGAGGGCAGCAAGACTGAGAAGCCCAGCTCCTGCCCAAATTAACTTTCTATTTGAATTCAGGGGCCCCAGGCATAGCCCCAACTCTGGCCCCTACTATCCCCAGGCTCCTGGCAAGCTTATTTCTGGGAGGACGGCCCCTCTCTGCCTGCTCCTGCTTCACACCCTCAAGGGCCAGCCCTCTCCGGAACTACAGCCCAGGACCCATCCGGCCAGAATCCTGCTCCCTGCCCCCCATGCCCGGAGGGGTTCAGGGAACGGCCTCGCGCAGGTGGGCGAAGGAGCTGCACAACCGGAGAGAAAAAGCTGGGCAGAGAGGGCGGATCCTATCTCTGAGCGCTGTGGAGGGGAAATGCCACACACAGACTCACACGCGCACGGACTCACAGACAGACATGCTCACACCTTCGCAGAGGGCAGTCCCTGCCCGCTGGCCGCACAAACAGAATGGACTGGCCAGAGGGAGGTGGAGAGGATGGGAGGAAGGGTCGTCGCCCTTCCCATCACAGGCCCCTCTTGGCCATAATACAGGCTCCTCTCATCCCAACCAGGACCCCTCAACCCCTCCGGGGGGCAGGTCCTAGGAGGCGACTGCCCGGCGCGGGGGCACATGCGGTCTGCACCGCGGAGAAGTGTCCCCAAGCCCAGATCCCCACTCAGAAACGTTCAGGGTGCACCCACCCTGGAGTCTGCCGGCCTCCGGCTCCCAGAAGGGGACGGAGGACCCCATCCCCCTCCCTCGCGTACACCCTCCCCGGGTCGCGCCGGCTGCCTGGGGCTGAGGACTCACCGCCGACACTGGACCTCCGGAGAGCGCGCGCCCGCCAGCGCGGGCCCCGCAGACCCGAGGCCCGCCCGGGGCCTTTGAGGGGGCGGGCCGA